TAGCACATGAATAATGTGTTGGAACACACCTTAACTTGGTTAATTTTATAGTTTTATAATATTATTAATATGTTGTTTACATTAATAAAGATGAATTTTAACATGTCTCAAGATATAATAATATTTAAAATATTTATTAGAATTTTATGAGATTGGTGTCCTCATACACATTTGGCTATCTGATTAAACCAGATTATTTTAGACATTGAATATGCTTTTGTGATTTTTCTAATCATTTTCTAGTGATTTAAGAATTTATGCCTCAAGTCGTAGCCGCTTCATCAATAGCTATGATATAGCAGCCCAATCATCACTCACAAGAGTGAGGAGCCAGCATTCCGACAAGAGGAGGATCCGATGGCTCAAGAGAGACCTCACGAGAAGGGAGTCCATTGATCCAACAAAGCATGGCCTTATAGGGGAAGTAGCCACCAAAACCCTTAAGTAGTTTCTCGCGCATGCACGAGAGGCAGGCGAGAGGTGGGCAAGAGAGGAGAGAGAGGGAATAGTGCCCTATTTTTTTGGGAAAACCTATGTCACAAATAACTTTTGATTAAGGAAACATTTAATGATTGATAAGTCTTCATTATCATAAGCTAATAATTAATAAATAAGATAGTTTTAGTCTTAACTCATGATAAATAAACTTATATTTGTGTTTAATTTTAAAAATTAGTTTTCAATTGATTAATATGATTTTTTTGCTAATTATGTAATTTTTTATAAATTTTTTATAGTTTTTATAATCCTTTTTAAGATAAATAAGGAAAAATAAAATAAAATAAAAAGATAGACAAAGGGGGGGGACCGTCAATCAATTGGCCTACAAGTGGGTCGAAAATGTAGTCGGGGTGGAGCCGCAAGTAGGGGCCCAAGTGGCTATGGACCGATGGGGGCATGTGTGCGCACTCTCCTTCTACATCACCAATGGCTAGCCAACTATGGGGCAAAGAGTAGTTGTACATGCGAGAAATAGACTCATTACTTCTAAATGTGGTATTATTATATATTCGTCCAAAACTTTATCATACAACTAATGTGGGACTAAACCTCTATCACACCTTCTTCAAAATAATTTTGATTATTTTAATAACTAAAATACCCTTTAGTTATAATAGAGATATAACATGATAATATCACTTTATAAGACATTAAAGTACTTATTTTAATTTCTCTCATATTTAATTATATGTAATTGCTCATATGAAAATTATTGGATGAAACTCTATTTTCACTCAAATCACATTCCTCATGACATTCACATCATCCTGACATCTGCATTGTTATTTTCCTTTTTCACAAATTTTAAAATATATTTATATTTATTATTTAGTCATAATTATACAAAAATATATTATAGTAATAAATTATTTAGTATTATCTTACATCTTTATGATCGACTTAAAAATTCTTTACTATTTTTAGAACCTTTTATCAAATTATAATTGATTTATCTGTTCTAAAATATTTATAAAAATCTATATATCTATATTAATTTTATAAATTTTAAATTTGCATGATTTATTATATAACGGCTATGTCACATCAAATGTTGGCACCATTGTTGGAGATGTATTATATAATATTTAATATTTTTTATTTTTCTCATAGAGTACACTAAAAAAAATTAACTATTGTTTTTATTCTTTTCTTATAGACAAATTAAAAAAAATGAAAAGCACGAGGGCAAATATTGAAATATCCTTACATCCAAAGATATAATTTTTTTTTACTGTTTCATTTAAAATTAAATATCTCAAAGAAAAACTAATTTTGATAGATTTTGAAGGTAGTACATGTTAAATTGAGAGCAACCTCATAACCATAAAAATCATTATATTCCTAATTCATTTCAACGAGCATTCAATCTTAGAGTCTCATTATTACCCACAGTTAAATTTAAAATAAATTCAAAAAATTTCCAAATACTCCTTAATTTTCATGGATTACCTTTAGAGGAACCTTATTAGTATTTAAATTTTTTTTATATGATTTGTGATTTAGTTAATCTCTCTTAAGTTAGATAAAAAATTATTAAGATGAAATTATTTCTTCATACACTTAGAGACAATGTTAGTTATTGACTATCCACATTAAATTAAAAATTAATTAGTTAGAAAGGCATACAACAAGCCTTTCTTTGAAAATTTTATCTCTTATGAAAAACTCAAAATATGAGAAAATATATATGAAGTTTTGCTCAAAGGCCAAGAAAAACTTTACATGAGACATAAGAAAAATTTAAAGATTTACTTAAAAAGTGTCATTATCATGTTATACTCAAGTGACAATTGAATATAATTTTTTATAATGGATTATTAGAATAACATAGAAATATGATTAATTTTATATGTGTAATAGTATTTATGGAGAAAACTTTTGATAAGATTTACAACTTTTATGAGAATTTAAGTAAAAATTTTAGAGATCAAGCATCTTTTGAATTATATCATAGGAATAAGAAGAAAGAAATTTATGAATTACAATATCAAGATGATTCTAATTTAAGAAATGAGGTTAATCAGATTAATCAGATATTAGAAAAACTTGATTTACTTATTGACGATATTAGAAGGCCTCCTAACCCTCAATTTAATTCAAATAATTCATATTTTATGTATGATAAAAATAATTATTCTTAATTTCAATGTTATAATTTAAATCAATTATTTCAACTTAAGCAAGAGCATGTAGCTTATGATTTTATTAAAAATATATAATATTTTTCTAATTCTTATAATTTTAATTAGAGGAATAGTTTTTCGTAGAGAGACCAAATAATATTCAAAATTCAGAAGCACTTAGACCAAATTTAAATTCTAAATTTCGTCTAAAACAAGAACATAGAGTTTATAATAAACCCTCGTAATCTAATCTGATTTTATTGATATAATGTAGCAAATGAGCCAAATGATGCAACAAATAATAAACCAAATGATGTTGCAGCAAAAATAATTTATAAAGGCTTTTGAGAATAAGAGAGAAGAGAGATAGTCACTTAGTTCATAGAAAATCGTAGGTCTCAATGATAATTCAGGAGGTTCTTAGACTGTAGCCTCTTGTCCTTTTTCTATTAGAACTACACGGACGACTGTGAAATTGGGTGAATTCTATGTTCCAGCTGAAATGGGCTTGTACTTACTGCTCGTGTCCATCCACCGGGGTCTAGAAACAGGGGGTGACGATGTCCACGAATTCATGCCAGAGAGGTTTTCTGATGGGGTTTCCAAGGCATCAAAGAATCAAGCAGCCTATTTTCCTTTTGGCTTCGGGCCCTGCATGTGTGTTGGGCAGAACTATGCCATGGTGGAAGCAAAGTTATGCTTGGTAATGATTCTGCAGCACTTCAGCTTTGAGCTCTCACCTTCATACACGCATGCTCTGCAAACGGTGTTAACTCTTCGGCCCCAATACGGAGCTCAGATCATCCTGTACAAGCTGTGATGTCGTCATTAATCATCACCAACATAGTCTTATCGTAAACTTGTGGAAGGTAAACCTGATCCTGAAAACATTGTGATAATCACTGCCTCCAGGCTTCAGCTGAAGATCGTATAGACCTACTAAATGATGTTTTCCTCAGGAAAATAATCCTGCCTCTACTTCCTCCTGCTTCCTTCCTGTTGGGCTGATGCCGGGCGTGTAAGTAAATCATTAAAGTGTATAATTCTATATATATATAGAGGTGTATATGTATATGTATAAAGGCGCATGTAATGTTGGCCGAGCCCGGGTGTCAAGGCCACCTGCGTCCATGTGATCGAAATGGGCGAGGCACAGAAGAATCATCAATCCAGCCCTTTTATGTAGAGAAATTGGCAGTCAAAGGGTAGCCATCATTTTTTCTTCTCTGCTGACTGTCAGTCTACGCGCTAACATTCCATGGAAGATCCTCCACGAGGTGCTCTCTGTGTTTCATTCTGACTCTTTCAGAGTTTGCAGTCAATGGGGAGCCAGAGTTTGAGGCTCTTAACCAGCGGAAGTATACCTCTCCTCCTGTTGTTGCCTGCATCTTCCTCATTTCCTCCATCTCCATCAATAGAAGAAGGCCTCTCCTCGCTGTACACTCTTGTCTATCTCCTCCTTGTAATGAACTGCACGACAACACAGCTCAATGGATTTACCTTCTCCTACCTGCTGATCCTCTCTGAGGCAATGCCCATGAATTCATGTGAGAGAGGTTCGTCGAGAGGGTTTTTGAAGGTGCCGAAGAGTCCGGTGGTGGAGGACATCATTTCCCCTACTCTATATAACACTCTTCATTGTTGGTCAATACTAATTTCTCTGACTTTGATACCCCCTTTCTCTCTCTCTCTCTCTCTCTCTCTCTCTCTCTCTCTTTCTCTCTCTACTTGCGGACTCAAAAGGCTCCTTTGAGACTCAAGTAAACATTCTGATTCTTCTTGTAGATTCACGAATTATTTGAGGAAATCTCTGTGGATTTAATAATTGAATTATCTAAGTTCCAAGGCTCTAAGAGTTGACTTTTTTTGTTCATTATTCGTGTATTGTGGATGATGAACTCCAACCTTCGATTCCACACACTCTGGCTTTTGCTCTAAGATTTATGTAATTACTGTGATCCTTGTGGAATTCAAGATTCGGCGATTTTGTGACTTGTAGATTGAAGGCCAGATTTTTTTTTACTATTTTCGTAACTTTTGTAATATCCCGTGGGCTTTTTGTAATATCCAGAATTTCTCCATAGCCGAAGCACATTTCTGCCTGTATCTGATTCGTCACTCTAGCCGAGCTCTGTCTGGTTACCAGTTCGATGGGTGCCCTCCCTCCGGCGTCGTCATTTTCCTTTTCTTGAAAATATTCGGGTTGTGACGTCATTTCGATTAAAATCCGTGCAAGGAAAATAGTTAATTGTTCATTATAATTAATTTCCGGATCGCGTCGTTTAGGATCACCACATGCGCTCTGCTTTGTATATTCTGTCGTCTGAGTTGAAAGGAGGGGAAGCGGACGGGCAACAGTGGTGGTGGGAGACGGCGATGAAGGGCCTGAGCCGACTCGTCCACTCTCCCTTCGTCACCGACCGAAACCCTCGCGCACCTTCTCCACCGAAGGGAAGGCCGCGTCCGACCCGCGCCTCCTTCCCGGCCAAAGCCGCCGCCGCCGCTTCTCCTTCTGCCTCCCGATACCCATCTCTCTCCGCCCAGTATGAGCCCGGTGAAAAGCCGGTGGTCGTCGTTGGGTCCGCCAATGCCGACATCTACGTGGAGGTGGACCGCTTGCCGGCTGTTGGGGAGACGATCTCCGCTCGGACGGGGCAGACCCTCGCCGGCGGCAAGGGCGCCAACCAGGCCTGCTGCGGCGGCAAGCTCGCGCATCCCACGTACTTCGTTGGCCAGGTCGGCGAAGACGCCCACGGGAGATTGATCGAGGAGGCGCTGGAGAGCGGCGGAGTTCTTCTCGGGCATCTCACGCGGGTCCCCGCGGCGCCCACTGGACATGCCGTGGTGATGCTCCAGCCGGACGGGCAGAACTCCATCATCATCGTCGGCGGCGCGAATGTGAGCGGATGGCCAGAAAGGCTGTCGGAGGAGGACCTGGAGGTGGTGAGGAAGGCGGGGGTACTGCTTCTGCAGAGAGAGATCCCGGACCGGGTCAATATCCAGGTCGCCGAGGTACTTCTTACCCTACTTCCTTACGATTCCCCTTTGACTTTCTCTGGGATACATCTGTTGGACATTGCCGCGATTCGAGGACGGGGCTGGTGGATCCTTCCGGACTCGATTAGTAGACAGAAAGTTTTGATCGAAGAAAGTTTTTCTCTGCCGGTTTCATTGTCTGGTGGCTTTTTATATTGACCTTAGGTTTCTCCAAATCTTGATGATGTTCAATGGCAATTGGATAAAGGCCCCGCTATTCGTTGACCTCAATTACGGCCATTGAAATTGATTTAAAATGGCTTCTATAATTCGCCTGGCGTTTGCATCGGAGATGTGCTGATCAGCCCTGATTACTCTGCTCCTGTAGTCAGAGGGCATGAGGTCTATCGATTCTATTTCAACCTTAGCTTTTCTTTTAAAGACTGAACGTTTCCAATCTTCTTTTCTTCATAAATCTTCTTCTTTTTTTTTTCTCATGCCAGTTTCAGTACTCTGCTCATCTCTTGTTGCGTCAGTCCTGTTTATCTCCTGTCTACTCCTCTCAGCTGTCCTGAAGTGAAGGATGTCTTAACAACCAGGTATAGGCATCGTTGACCTAAGGTTTGATGGCCGTCAGTTTAGTGCACAGCTGAAGGATCAATTTACTGAAGTAGGGGACTGACCTATGCAGCCTCCTCCTAGGCTTCTTTTCCGACTTCATTTCATGCGTTTTCGGCTTAATGAATTCCCGATACCTGGATGGCACTGTTGCCAAGCCTATGTCTGCTTGTGAGTGATTTCGCTCGATGCCTAGCCAGCCTCCTTCCAACAGAAATGGGAAAATATCGAGAGACAGCCATCGAGGAAGATAATATCATAATGCCCTCAAGTAGAAAAGCGATTTGAAATGATTAAGTACGCAATAGCTGAAGAGGCTGGGGACATTGATGTGCCCATTTGATTGCAATAAGATATTTTAGGGCTCATCAAAACTGATTCATCACTGAAAAACACTAAGAGTAAAATTGGCTACATTTTGAATGATTTCATGCCAAAAAAAACAACAGGGCACTGTATAAAGCCCTTAGTTTAGTCTTTATTTCTTATGGCGTCATAATCCTCCATCTGTGATTCTTCGTCCTGTCTAAATCTGAGACCTGATTGTTTTCAGGCTGCGCAAGGTGCTGGCGTCCCAGTAATTCTGGACGCTGGGGGGATGGAGGGACCTATTCCGCTGGAACTGCTAAAACTTGTGGATATATTTAGCCCTAATGAGACAGAGCTGGCAAGGTTGACTGGGCTGCCGACGGAGACCTTTGAGCAAATAAGTCAGGCTGTCCGCAGGTGCCACGAAATGGTAAATATGGACTTGAATGGAATATCTTTGGACTTTTTCTGTGTCACACATTGACTAGGCCGTCTTAACTGGTGCTAGGAGACACTGAAAGACTTAACTGTTGCCTTTTCTGTCCGGACAGCATTTTTTTTTTTCATGTAGAGTAGTATTTCTGCATACAAAATTAACGCTTATTTCATTTTATTTCAAAAAATTGTATCTCCTCAGACTACTCACCTTCAACACCCATAAATCTTTGTGACTTATCGGAAGCTATGTCTTCAGAAAAATCGCATATATCTTGATATCCTGTGGAAAAACCAGAGCAGGGGCATCAAGAAACCATATCCCTCAAAAAAATTCACGGTCCACAGCATCAATAAGCCAGGAGGATCCCACAGAATGCAAGAAATTCTTGTAGATCAATCCATTTTTTTTCAGCACAGTTACTCTCCCAGTTGTAGTTATACAGTGAGTCTCTGAGAATCTGACTGCAGCTGTGTTTTGCCCGATTGATGATTCCAGGGCGTTAAGAAAGTCCTGGTGAAGCTTGGCTCGAAAGGCTCGGCTTTATTTGTGGAAGGGAAAGAGCCGATCAGGCAGCCCATCATTGAGGCTTCTAGGGTCCTTGATACGACAGGCGCCGGCGACACCTTCACTGCCGCCTTTGGTGTGGCACTTGTGGAGGGAAAGACCATGGAGGAATGCCTAAGATTCGCTGGTGCTAAACATTTTTGTCCCCCCTAAATAATTTTCCTCCTAAAAGCAAACAACTCCCCTCCCCTCCTCCCCCCTCCACCCATCTTCTATTCCTTATTTATGAATTGATTTTGCTCCTCAACTGCAGCGGCAGCAGCCTCTCTTTGCATTCAAGTGAAAGGGGCCATCCCCAGTATGCCGGAGAGGAGCGCAGTCACAAAGCTTCTTCAGTCTCCCTGAGTACGACTCATCTCTGAATAATTTCCGAGTGGAAGTTCTGAATAAAGTTCTTTTTTTTTGTGGTTAAATCGTTTCGGGTCGAATGATTTTGAAATAAATTATGCTGCTCTTAGACATGCAGCCTGTGAAAGGGGTTTTTGGATGCCGCGAGAATGTTTAATTGAATATTACATTTGTTTTGTCTTCTCATTTTTCAAATCGAGACCGTGAGATGGGGGTCTGCGTCTAAACTCACCAAGATTCTACTCTGATCTGACGGAAATGCCCCTCGACAGCGAGGTAATTTATATATCACACCCTTTCTGCCTTCCCGTGGCGTCCCTCTGCTCTGTAGTGGAGACCTCCACAAGGTGGGCTCTGAAGTCCAGGCCATTCGGCGGTGAAGTTTGTCCGCTGGGGAGAAGGACGATGAGAAGCACGGGGGGGGACCCGTTGACTGCCTCTCGACTGAGCTCATACACAGTAAAGCCTGCTTTTGGGCTGCAAATCCAGAAACATGCGGCCCAGTGGGTGATCTCCGTGAGATCATCCACTGCCCTTCTGTTCCAACTTCTAAGAATCTGAGAGCGTATAATGCATGTGGTGCAAGAATTCATTGGGCATTCCAAAAAAAAAATCACGTTCACTGGTCTTAGTATCTTGGCAGCGAGCCTTCAGCATCTCACTCGGTCACCACCTACCATGTCACCGTTGTCGGATAAGCTTGGGGATACGGGCACATGAGACGTCTCCCTTGCCCGGCATTGACCAGTCTGCTCTTGTTCTGCTCGCCTCTCTCTCTCTCTGTGTGGTCGTCGAACATGTCTCCATCTTCCGCTCTCTTCCGTGGTCCTCGAGCTTGTGTGCATGTTTGTCTCTCTCCTCCATCCTCCCGCCGGCGTCCAGGCCGGTTGTCGGGGGTGGGCAGAAGTGGCCGGCTGATGGACGCGGGTGAGAGGCCTAGGAGATGGAAAGACGTCGGCCTCCGTTCTTGACCATCGTCGTCTGTATTTCTGCCTCCATTCTTGGAAAATTTAGGGGTCCTCGGGACGTCTCAGTCCAATTAGACGAAAGCTGTGTCACATCAATCTCTCGGAATAATGCCGCTCGTGCAACGTCTGGCATGAGAGGAGCTGACAGAAGGCGAAGCCATGGTGGAACCGCTCGCTTGTCTTTTGGAGGGAGGCCTTCCTGCAATCCCGTTCCCCGTCCTTTCCTGCGCGGTAGGTGGGCCGGTGAGTCAGGCCGGCAACGGGTTGAACACCTCGATATATTCTTGTGGCGGCAATTTTTTGTCGTCCGCGTCTGCCGGCGGTAGCGGTGAGGCGTCGCCGGCGGAGCCACCGTCGTCACCGTCGGCAGTAGCAACACGTATGGAAAGGGAAGGCGGCGTGGAGCGGGGGAGATCCGCTTTTATGGCGTCCGATAAGCGTGCTGGTGAGTCGACGTGCAACAGCGGCCGTGTTTGGCCAGTTGCTTTTGTACCTTCTCAAAGACTTTGCGGCTCGCAGCCTTTTACTGCGCTGTCTCTCTCCTCCTGGGGGGGGAAGGGAATTGGCGTTTGGTAGCGGGACCAATAAGTGTGAGCCGCAATGGCCGCCTTTTGTTTCTCTCTCTATCCCTGTACTTTCCTGCCGATGCAGAGATGATCCGAAGTTTGTTCTATCGGAGGTAGAAGAGCCCTGACCGAGAGAGCGAACGAGAGAGAAAGAGAGAGAGAAAGAGAGAGAGAATCATTTCCGATCGTCAGAAGCTTCTGCCTATGAGAGGCCGGATCGGCCAAGAGATGTACGAGCATGGCATAAGAGGATGTGTTTCTCGATCTTCTCTCTAACTCTACCGACGCCATTTGAAAAGTTGCACCACACATCCCGTTAAGGACGGAGATCAGCTCCTTTCCACGGCTCTGGGCAGCGAAGGATCATCGGCAGAAGCGCCGTCCTCTCTCGTCCCCTTGGCCCCTGTTCATCTATCATCCTCGGAATTTCGTGGGATGGACTCGGCGCTTCTCTGTGTCGCTCTTTTCGCGGTTCTCTCTCCCCCTTAATGTTCAACTAGAAGTCAAGAAGACAACCTTTTCCGTATTAATTTCTCCTGGAGATCGCATCAGATGCAGAGGTCCCTCTTCCACAGGATGACGAAAGGAAAGAAGAAAATGCCAATTTACGAAGAAATCCGAAGCGTCCTACTCATAAAGCCCGCGACAGAAGCAGATCTCTCCCGGATCCCTTGAGATAGGAAGATGATTCTAGTGCTCCCCAACCAGAAAAGACGGGGGAATTGAATGCGTAGGTAGAAGAGGCATGCAGCTCTCCAGCTCCACCATTAATGCCGATGGATCGCCCGCCCATCTCCTTCCACTGAAGGTCGCCGCCACGGCGCTTTCAGCCCCTGAGGATAGGAAAGGGCCTCTCCGCAGCAAAGGGAACCTCGCCGCTGGGAAGGATCTGGGCTTCGCTTAGACAGCCAAGGCCAATTCCATGTATTCATTGCCTCTGATTAATGTTCCTCTTGGGTAAACAATAGAGATGTGGTGCGCAACTTATAACCATACTTTGATGATCTGATGTCATTTGAGATAATCGGGTCATTAATGTGGCAATGGGTAGATCATATCCATACATTTTGATCATCGCTATCAGTTTTCTCTAGCAATGTGATACCATTCTAACAGTGAGACCTCTCTCCCTCTCTACAAACAGTAGTGATGCACTATGATATGCCTGTCCATGTTGATTTACAAACTATAAAGACGACGGGGGAGAGAAGCAATGACGATGACAGCGTAGACGGGATCGGAGGGACAGAAGAGGGATCCGAGATGAAGCTCCAGAAGGCGTTCATTGTTTGGCGTGGTGGACGACGAAGGGAACGACGTCTTGAAGGAGGCCGTAGTCAGGGGGGCATTGGGGATGCTGGGTTGCAGGGTAGGGAGAAAGGCTCTGAGGGCTCAGGCGCCTGGCTTCACGTAGTTGCACGTCGAGCGGCGAGGGAAGACGGCGATGGTGCAGAAGCAGTTCAGAGCAGAAGCCCGCCATGGAGGTAGAGGGTGCGAGTACGTGACTACTCCCTCGGATCGTCGCGGGGCTGTGGTGGGTGTGCTGCCCTTCATAGGTCGTGATCACGATGGATGGGTCTTGATGAGATCGTTCCACTCTCTTCTTCACCGAACACTTGGGCGTGGTGCAACGGTAGTAACTTCTGCATGAGGGAAGAGCGAGAGAGAGAGAGAGAGAATTAGAATCATAGGAATAGGGCATGCAACGATTCTGCTGTGCTTGGAAATAAGATTTCCAGACGACCAAGGCGAGATATCGAACTCGTACCGGGTTAGACTCTAAATTGGAAAAACAGGCGAATAGATTACTACTATTAAGCGATATAAGTAAAACGGCATTCTTGGGGACACTCAAAGATTGCCAAACCTTGGGTACGGGCTGTTCTTTACGGCCTTCTGACCGTATTTCCTCCACCGGTAGCCATCTTCGAGATGGTCAACTTCGCTCTTTGTCATGAAGGCGAAGCGGGGTTCTCTTGGTCGCTTCTCGCCTTTCTTCCTCGGCTTGATCCTGCGCCGAGAGATCGGAAAGAGATCAACAGGAAGCAGAAATGTCATGATCACCATGAGGAAGCATATATTTTCTGAACAGCAATTAGAGAACTACTGTCCACATGTGCACATATTAGCTGCATTAATCTTCAGAGATCTTCACGTAACGCTTTCTATTTTTCATTCATAGGTTCCCATTCTTCTGTCTACACTAGAAGTAGATGGGTAGCATGAACAATCGAATGAGAAATTACCCCAAAATGGTGTTTAACGAATCGGAAGGATGAGGACTTCAGATGAACAGTAGAAGCCCTAAAAGCTGACCTTATCCTAAGAAAACCCCGAAGGAAATCTCAAGAGGAGGTAAACCTAATTGATCTGCAGTGGGAGAACCCCCGAAAAATGTTTATAACCGCATAAATTGACCTTACAGGGAGGGGAAAATTGAAAAAAAATCAAAGATAAAGGTAGATAAAGCATCCGCTTACGGCTTTTTGGGCTTCTCAGTTCCATCATCGACATCATCAGCTTTGGCTATCTCTCCCAGATATTTCCTGCTCCTTCCAGAATCCTCATCGCCGACGGCCTCGATTGACGAGGAAGACATCGATGAATTCGGAGTGGCTGCGTTGACTCCACCAGAGGTAGACCGATCAATTGCGATGCCGACCGTGGCCGTGGCCGGAGCTACTACGTCCCCGTGGCCGAAGAAATCTTCCGCTGAAGGGGAGCTCGAGAGATCGAAGGAACTCTCGAGGACGTGGTAGTCGCCTGAGCTATTCAAGCAGCCTGTGAAACTGAGATCGGCCCCTAGAAGGTCATTAGGGCCAGAGGTACCCTCAAATCTCTGTGAGAAGAACAGATGATCGTCGGGGGATCGAGCGTAGTTTCGATCTAGGATGAGGCGGTCGCCTTGGTAGGGCACCGTGTTTCCAGACATGACACAGGGAAGGGAGGAGAAGGGTTGTTCGAGGAGGTTGCGGGAGGAAAGAGCTCCCGAGAGATGGAGATAAGGGATAAGCGGAAGGTCTGAAGAGGAAGAGAACTGGGAGAGGATACCTGCCTTTGTAGAGGAGGGGAAACTAGTGAAGGGAAGGAAGGGTGTAACCTGGTAAGTGATCTCTCTCTCTCTCTCTCTCTCTCCCCCTCTTCCAGCTTCGTTAAGCTCACATCCTTATCGTCTGGGATCATAAACTTATTAAATATGACAGACCCGACTCACTTGCTAGAAAACGTAGAGATAAGAAACCCAAGAAAGACTATATCTTTAACTTTGTGGACTCACTGAACAGACTTTTATGTTTGTTGGAACTCTTTTCTTCCAACAGAATTTAGTGTCTTTATTCCTATGTTCATGTTATGATAGTTCTAGGGTCGGTAACGCCACCCAACCAGAAGGACCCTAACAAATTCTTTGCGAAAGGGGAGATGGAAATTTTGAAAGGGGTAGAGAGAAAGAGACAGGGATAGAGAGAGAGAGAGAGAGAGAGAGAGAGAGAGAGAGAGAGAGAGAGAGAGAGAGAGAGACATGTAGATAAATATCGAGAGAGAGGGGAAAGAATGAGAATGCGGCAGGATTGGGCGGTCGGTGGTCACGTGGTGCGCTGGATGACGCAATTTGGAGGTCAATAGTCGCAGGCTGATTAAACAAGTTGATTCTCCAAGCTTATGGGGTCCACAAGAGGATTTGTAGAGACATTTGGGAGGGGAAACACCGAAATTCTTGTTCCTCGCGTCAGCTTGCCTCCGTGAGATCCATCTGACGTGGCCCTGACGCTCCATGGCGTCACAAATCTAATAAAACCAACTGATATTGTATTAAATTAAATGGCCTCAAATCATTAATTAGAACAGTCAAACCCAATATATCCGAATTAAATTTATTTAAAAATGCCCGACAAAATATTCATACGCTGACCTATTTAAACCCAGGGCCAACATGAAAAGGAAATTGTTGGCTTTTTTCTTTTAAGACTTGATTTTCTGTTCTAAATGGACGAAATATGATATATACCAAGCCCTTATATACCTCTAATATTTCAAGTGATCGATACAATACATCTATTTAGAATGTGCACATCCTTGATTTCTTGAAAAGCCTAAATAACCACACCACACCAGCGTATGCACAAAAAAATAATTTATCAGCAATTACAATGCCATCATACAGATTTCGTTAAGGAAAAATCTTGTGCATGCCATCATCATTACGTCATCGTATCTACTCATCTCATAAAAGAAAAAAAAACTCACTATCTCATGCGCGTATTTCATGAGTCTATTTCAGCTCGTGTGAATGCCGAAAATCCTATTTTTCCTTACGAGATGATCATTTGATCAATAACCTCATTGGAATTTAAATATATGTTTGTCCACGTATAATATATACGTATGCATATAAGGCTATCTCTTTCTCGCTCTTTCACGTCTACCCAGAATTAAGGCGTAATTCAAACGGGCCAAGACCTTAAAGGAATTAGTCCAAGAGTTTATTTTCCGAACTTTTTTCTGCTCTTTGGCTCAGTTGAAGTATTTATTAAAGATGTGAGATAGTGAGAGCCATGTCTTGTGTTAGGACTTGTGGATACCCAAATCTCGCTTTACTCCGGGAGAAGTTTTGATATATTGATAATCCACAAAGGATTTCTCATCTACTCCGGGGGGAGGCCTCAGGGCGCCGTTCTTTTGGGCAACTAGTAATCCTTCCGATAGAGGCGGTGATAACTCCACGTTGAGTCCGCATGGTTTGTCAATAAGGAGATGATCTTGCCTCCTTTACTCGTTCACGAATACTTAACTCAATATATGCGGCGGATACAGAATAATGGAGGCCATCGAGGAATTTATTTAGTCTACCACGGAGAAATGTTTCAATGACCGCGATTACCCGCAATACCCCGGGGGTTTGAATACGAGCTGGGAGGAGGGAACACTTGGGTTTTGGTTGTGAGACCCAATCAAGGGGAGAGAAGAGAATGACAACGATCGGGATCTGGAAGGAAGGTCAGGAAGCTGGGAGGTGACCGGAACAACGGGGCCAAATAATGGCGGCCTTGTCGGCGCCAGCGGTGGGCTTGGGGGTTTGTCTTTGCGTTGGTGTGTTTCTGTGAATGGGAGTGCGTTGATTGACAGGGAGGGCATGAGATTATTGACCATTGAAACGTCCTTTATCTCTCTCTCTCTCTCTCTCTCTCTCTCTCGCTCTATCTATATATGGTGGGGAATAGCCCTAGTGTTAGGCCAGTGCAACGATCCTACAAGAATTGGTGCCATCGGAGCGTGCAGACAGCAGGGTGAAATCTCAACCGCATGGGGAGAAGGGCGGGGAGAGAGAGAGAGAGAGAGAGGGAGGGACGGAGGAAGGGAGGGAGAGAGCATTTATTGATAACATATAAACAAAGGAGCTAACATTGCCCAAACGTAGATGGTATTGCTCTCAATATTTCATTTTTACCAATTCCTACTTACGGCTGAAAGCCCGTAACTTTGTATAGTGAGGTATTGACCATGTCGAAGATAGTCCAATCCATGGAGACTCCGTTCCCCTACGCGCATATAAACCCCTGTATCCATCCATGTCAACGGGTATGAATACGGCTTGCTTTTCGTTTCCAAAATCCTGCCCCTATGAGAGTCGACAACGTCTTGAGCATGTCGGAAGAAGAACCCGTCAACTTAAGGGCCATCGGCAGCCCCTCATTTACTTCCAACGAAGCCCTTGAGATATTCGCATGGTTCAATTGAAGAACACTCCGGATAGAGAGAGGGAGAAGGGGGGGTGGGGGGTGTGGACTGGGTCTGAGAACGTAGTTGACGTGATGATTTCACCGCAGCCCGCATTCAGCGCTCAGGGCCGCTTCCATGGGAGGGGGCAAGCCGATGGGACCGCATTAGCCTCCTAGGTCAGTCAGATCGTCATCTGCTACCGATTCAAACGTTGACGTGACGTGCGAACTGTTTCCCGTCGTCTCCTTCGTGCGGTGGGTGGAAGCCCTAAAAGTTCCGGCGAATACCAGGCGTTCAGAGGACCCTGAGGCCACGGTCAACGGCCGACCCATTCCTGCAACCTATTCCACTGTTGGCTTCAGCCGCAAGGCGGGATAACAAGGAACAGTCACAGGGTCACAGCCGTTGATCGAGGGCAGCAGCGAATCCCTCTCGAATGTCGCAGTCAGAAGACCTAACGAGCTTCCAAGTTGATGCAGGGTTCTCCCTGCTGACCGACTTCTCTCCGGCCTGCGGACCTTTCGAGGGAGAGACGGGGTCTCATTCCCGATACGCTGCTTTCTCTTTTGACTTGGTCACTTCTGGGATGTGGGAATTCGAGGAATTATCTCTTATTTTCATATTAGTAAGGTCGCTCGGGGTGCGGGGGCCTCGGCAAGCCTCTGTGTCTACCAGTCCCACACGTAACCCTCCTCAGTGCCCCCACCAATGATTAGTCCTTTCATATTCTCTCTCTCTCTCTCTCTCTCTCTCTCTCTCGCTCTCGCTCTTCCTTCCTAGCCCACACGTAAAAGGATTTTAGAGTATAATGCTACCCGATAAAAAAACCCAGCTGTTTGTTAAAAAAATAAATAACGTTTCCCGAATGACTGGATCTCCGAGGAACGATCTATCTTATTCACCAGGTGAGGTGACAAAACGACAGTGTGCATGAATGTTGATGAAACGTTTGAATACGGGATCAACACTGTCGTATAATAGGTTTGAGTAAAAGCACTGAAAATCGTGTCATATAGAGTGAATGGTTCGGTTAGAGAGAGTCGTGATTTGCTGCTCAAATTGGGTTCCAACGCACGGTCCAATTGCACTCGGGTTGGGGTGTGGATAATGAAATCGGCGAAATTAAAGTCGTCGTATTGACAGAGAGATATACTGTTGAACACCGTTAACCGAATATATGATGTGAGATTCGTGACTCTTTATCCAGGATTATATCGATGTTATGCTCTACGTCACGGGAGTTCAGCTTCAACACGGCGGGGGAGTAGGGAGAGGGGGAGATGTGTGTGTGAGTGTGTGTGTGTGTGTGAGAGAGAGAGAGAGAGAGAGAGAGTTGCCCCTCGTCTTCCTCGAGAGGTAGGAGACATTAGGTGCGAGTCCCTTTCTTCCACTTTCCTAGAACTAGTGGAAGGGGGCGTCTGGTTTCTCTTCCCCAGTTCAATCCACGTGCTGTGTTGGGTCTCTGCAACACTGCACGCAAGGTATCAGCTACAGTAGATTGGACAGAAGGGGGGTGAGCCGCAGAGATGTGCCCTCTCTGCTGCACCGGACTCGTCAACTACCCCCAGCTTCCCCCCGAGACCACCCGTCATCGAGGAGCAACTGATATACATGTATATGGAGATAGACAGATAGATGGAAATGTATGTGAAGAGAGAGAGAAGAACCCTGAAGAGCTTAAACGAACGACGGAAGAGCTCGAAGGCTCTCATTGCATATCGCGATTTATACATGTCCGAAATGTTCTCTGTATTTTTTTTTCTCTTTACTCTCAGAATGAAAGCGCTGGTGTCTGAAGTCTCACTCTCTCTCTAGGATTCCTCTGCGCATGGCAGCCTAGTGAAGTATGTTCCTGTCTGGATCTGTCCCCCCATCCCTCTCTCTCTCTCTCTATCACACCTGACGTGCATGGTCCGGAAGTGATGAGAGAGGAGAGAATGACGTGGGTTGGGATCGGTGGCGGGGGGAGTCTGACTCCGACTGCGGCCGTGCGAAGGAGAGATTCATCGATCCGGCCGCCTGCGCGTGGGGAAGAACAACGCCGGGAACTTGATACGAAGAACTGTCCACGACGGCGAGGGCCTCAGAGGGCGAATGGCGGGTCAGAGGGGAGAGTGCGGCCATTTCATGCTATCACCCACAGAGTAGCTGACTGCGTCATCCACGGCTTTAAAAATTCGGTCCACGTTTGCAGTCCTTGTCATCCAGGAAGATGATATCTCTCTCTCTCCTCTCTTTCTCTCTTCCTCTCTCTCTCTACACCATTCTCACTCATGACTCTCTTCTCTCTCTCTCTCTCCCTCCTCTCTCCGCTGCCTTCTTACTGACTCGCTCTCTCCCTCTTCGTCTTCCTCTCCATCGGCCCCTTCTCACTCACTGACTCACTCTCTCCCTCTCTCCCTCTTCCTCATCCTCTCTATCGGCCCCCTTCTCACTCACTGACTCACTCTCTCGCTCTCTCCCTCATCCTCTTCCTCTCTATCGGCCCCCTTGTCACTTACTGACTCACTCTCTCCCTCTATCAGCCCCTTTCTCACTCACTGACTCACTCTCTCCCTCTCTACCTCAAACCGTATCTCCTCTCTTCCTCTTCCTGTCTATCGGCACCCTTCTCACTCACTGACTCACTCTCTCCCTCTTCCTGTTCCTCTCCCTCTCCCTCTCTATCAGCCCCTTTCTCACTCACTGACTCACTCTTTCCCTCTCCCTCTCTATCATCCCCCTTCTCACTCACTGACCCACTCTCTCCCTCTTCCTCTCTCTCCACCCCTTTCTCACTCGCTCCCCCCCTTCTCTCACTCACTGACTCACTCCTTTCACTCTCCTCACTCTCTCCGACTCTAACTCAAAGGCTCCCTTTCTTGCTCACTTCGTCCCTCCCTCTCTCACTCTCTCCCTCTTCATCTCTCTCAACCACCTACTCACTTATTGACTCACTCTCTCACTCTTCCTCTCTCCAACACCTTCTCACTCACTGATCCACTCACACGTTCTCTCTCTCTCTCTATCCATCTATCTAACAAAGCAAGCTAGAGAGATGTGCTCGTACACACCACGCATTATGTGATTCCGATTTATGTATGTGGCCCACGTTCACTTGGGCTCGGCCCAAGAGAGTTCTCCTCTCTCCTCCCCCGAACACACCACCCGAACGGAATTTAGTATTAGCACTAAAAAAGAAATGGCCGTGATCATCTATTTCTATTCTTAACAGACATTTGGCGTGGGACCCACCCCGGCCTGCGGATTGCATTTTATTGGGTCGGAGCTTGAATGTTGGATCCACCGGTGACTAGACGGGCCTTGTTGGCCGTTAGTGTCAGCGCTTGAATTCGCAGAGGGGAGAGTGGGGCCATGAAGCCCGCAATGCGGAGGGTCACCTCCTTCAGGGTCTTCTCCCCTACCCCTTCCGGCGACGGGAGGGTAATCCCTCGCTGGCTGCGGTTGCGGTGCTTCTCCGCCGCGGCGGCGGTGCCGCTTCCCGAAGTGCCCGAGTCGTTGGGTTCCCTCGCGACTGAAGAGCCCGAGAAGAAGAAGGAGAAGAAGAAGCGGAGGAGGAGATTGACGAAGGGGTCGACGTCATCCTCCGCGAGCGGCTATAGCGAGACGGCCGAGATTGTCCGCTGGAACAAGGTCATCACGGGCCACATGCGATGGGGGCGCTGCGAGGAAGCCAGCCAGGCGTTCGACGCGATGCCCCGCCGCACCACCGTCTCCTGGAATGCCATGCTCTCCGGCTACATCACCAACGACCGGTTTGAGCTCGCCCTGCACGTCTTCCGCCGCATGCCGCACCGCGATCTCGTCTCCTGGAACACTATGATCAGCGGATTTGTGCGGAACGGCGACCTCAGCTCTGCCCGGAGGCTGTTCGACGAGATGCCTGACAGAGACATCGTCTCCTGGAACGCCATGATCTCCGCTTACGCCCAGTACGGCCAGGTCGACGCCGCCCGGGAGATGTTCGACCGGGCGCCCGTCAAGAATGCCATCACCTGGAACGGTCTTCTGGCCGCCTACGTCCAAAACGGTCGCCTCGAGGCTGCACGCAAGCTGTTCGACTCCAGTCCGGAGTGGGAGACGGTATCTTGGAACGCCATGTTGGCGGGATACGTACACAGGCGGAGGCTCGAGGAGGCTCGGGAGCTGTTTGACCGAATGCCCAGGAGGGACGTCGTTTCATGGAACACGATGGTCTCCGGCTACGCGCAGGCGGGGGAACTGGGGGTCGCAAGGCTTCTTTTCGACAGGGCGCCGACAAAAGATGTGTTCACTTGGACCGCGATGCTGTCGGGTTATGCGCAGAATGGTATGCTGGAGGAGGCCAGGAGGGTGTTCGACAAAATGCCCGAGAAGAATGAAGTATCCTGGAACGCCATGATCGCAGGGTACGTGCAGCATTGCAGGATGGAGCAGGCGATGGAGCTGTTCGGCGTAATGCCGTGCCGGAACATCAGCTCCTGGAACACGATGATCACGGGGTACGCCCAGAATGGGGAGCTCAGCCACGCCCGGAAGCTGTTCGACGAGATGCCTCGGCGGGACTCAATCTCCTGGGCGGCGATGATCGCCGGCCACTCCCAGTCCGGCTTGAGCGAAGAGGCGCTGGGACTGTTCATAGAGATGGGGCGGCTGGGGGAGAGGCTGAACCGTTCCGCCTACACCTGCGCTCTAAGCACATGCGCCGACATCTCCGCCCTAGAGTGCGGGCGGCAGGTGCACGGGCGGCTGGTCAAGGCCGGCTACGCGGCGGGCTGCTTCGTTGGCAACGCCCTGCTGGCGATGTACTGCAAATGCGGCAGTATAGACGAGGCCTACGACGCGTTCATGGAGATGCCGGCCAAGGACGTCGTCACCTGGAACACCATGATCGCCGGGTTCGCCCGGCACGGCTTCGGCAGAGAGGCGCTGGAGGTCTTCGACTGGATGCTGGACCTCCATACCAGGCCCGACGACGTCACCCTGGTAATAAACCTTAGCAGAGCAGAGCTTCTTCTACTTCTTCGTCTTCCTCAAAGTGGAAGCGATGCTTAACCTTTCTTCTCCTCCAGGTGGGCGTCCTGTCGGCATGCGGCCACGCGGGGTTGGTGGAGAAGGGCATTGGGTGCTTCTACGCCATGGAGAGGGACTTCGGAATCACACCAAAGCCGCAGCACTACACCTGCATGATCGATCTCCTGGGACGAGCGGGGCGGCTCGGGGAGGCCCAGGTTCTCATGCAGAGCATGCCCTTCGAGCCGGACGCCACCATGTGGGGCGCCCTCCTCGGCGCTAGCCGGATCCACGGGGACACCGAGCTGGGGGAATCAGCGGCGAGGAGGATCTTCGAGATGGAGCCAGAGAACTCCGGCATGTACGTTTTGCTGTCCAACCTCTACGCTGCCGCCGGCAAATGGGCTGACGTGGGGAGGATGAGGGTGATGATGCGGGACAAGGGCGTCAGGAAGGTTCCCGGCTTCAGCTGGATCGAAGTGCAGAACGTCGTCCACACCTTCTCTGTCGGGGACGCGGCGCACCCTCAGAAGGAAGAGATCTACGCCTTCCTGGAGGATTTGGATCGCCGGCTGAAGAAGGCCGGGCACGTCTCGGTCACGAAGACCGTACTCCACGACGTGGAGGAGGAGGAGAAGGAGCAGATGCTCAAGTACCACAGCGAGCGCCTGGCCGTCGCCTTCGGGATCCTCCGCGTCCCCCGCGGCAGGCCCATTCGGGTCATCAAGAACCTCCGCGTCTGCGAGGACTGCCACAGCGCCATCAAGTACATCTCCGCCATGGAGGGGCGGCTGATCATTCTTCGGGATTCCAATAGGTTTCACCATTTCAGCGGCGGCTCCTGTTCTTGTGGGGATTACTGGTGAGAGAGAGAGAGTGGTATGATCTAACTCTGAAGTTTCTCTTTTTGGCTGATTATGTATAGGTGAGTGTATCTAACCCAAGTCAAATTAATACAGCTATTATTTTTCAGTACCATACTTTCTCTCTCTCTCTCTCTCTCTCTCTCTCTCTCTCTCTCTCTAGCTCACTGGGCATATTAAACAAAGTGGTACTATGGGTGAATGTGTGCCAACGAAATCAAGATATTACGATATTATTTTCGTCTGCATTATTGATGCAAAGATATTACAATATTATTTTCTTATATCATTTATCGGTGTATGAATAAATATGTAACCTCAAGATCACAACATCAGTAACTCAATTTCTGAATATAAGTAAGAACAAATAAAATAAAAATTACAAAGATATCAAGAATTCTGATGAGAACAATACTTTAACCAGATACCTCTAATCTACGTCTCAACACTCTCTAGACGAACCCACACACTAAAGTGTTAGTAATAAACTATTAGTTACTTACGAGGACTTCACTTATAATAAAATGAAGAAGAGAGACTAAAAAACAGGAAAATAATTGATGAAGATAGAGAATAAAATCAAGAGAGAGAGAGAGAGAGAGAGAGAGAGAGAGAGAGAGAGAGAGATATCGTAGTCCGTTCGTATTAAAAATAGAGAAATACATAACCGCCCCCTAAAAAGAGGCATCTTGATCTACGTGCTGCTGAGCCCACACATCTCCGAGGTGACGGCCCTTCCTTTGAGCACTGAACTGGCTATTCCCCATCACCCAGCCTTCGATCATCTGCTGCGAGGTCATCCCCTGGTCTGCCGGAACCAGGTGACCGGCGCCGGCGACCACGACGTGGCTGAGCGTCCCGTACTTCTGCACGTAGCCCGCCAGGTCCCCTCCCGCCACCCGCCACACCCTCCGCTCCGCCGCCAAGAAGCTCCGCAGTTCGGCCCACTGGGTCTTCTTCAGCCAGGCCTCCGTCGACAGGACCCCGTCCCTGAGATCGAACAGCCCCTGGTACAGCAGCACCTTGACCTTCCCCTGTTGCAGCAGGCCTTCCACCGCTGCCTTCGCGCTTTTCATCACGTCCTCATGGAAGGCCTCGGCGACGACGCCGCTGCACTCCTCCCAGGTGGCCCCCTCCGCCACGCCTAGCGCCGCCTTGACGTGCTCTTGGGCCAGGAATATGCCGACGAGGTCCGTCGGGTAGGGCTTCTTCTTCGTGAGGTCGTAGAGGGTGGCGAGACCGGTCGAATCCTGCAGATATTTCAGGACCTCTTTCCTCGCGTCGTGGGCCGCAGCCCACTTCTCCGCCACCGTTAGACTCACCGCCTCGCTCTGGAGCTTCTCGAGATGGGTCTTCTGCGGCTCGTTGATTAGGCCGGAGAAGAAGGCGCTGTCGGCGTGGGTCGCCACCTGGGCGACGGGGTGGGTGAGACCATTCCCGATCGCAACGCCGGCGAGGTTGATCCGGCGGTCCGCGGCGGTGCGGGCGTTCCGCTGCGAGATGTAGTAGCCGGCGGAGGGAACGTACTTCCCGGCGTAGCTCTCGCCGGTGAGGTAGAGGGGGCGGGATCGGAAGGAGGGATTGGAAGAGAAGAATCCTTGGAGGGCGATCCACAGGTGCTCAGAGACGGTGGTCTGGTTCCTAGGGATCTCTACCGGTGCAGCTGCGATGCTGAAGCCGGTCCCGATCGGGTTGTCCAGGAAGAGCAGGCCGAAGAGGCGGTTCCAGGAGTAAGGATTGGGGACCAGAAAGGGTCCAGTGGTGGAGTTGGCGACCAGCCAGGGGCCGAGCTCTAAGAAGTTGCCGACCATGGAGGAGCAGCCGGGGCCGCCCTGGAGCCAGACGAGGAGAGGGGTGCGGGGGAGGGGCACCTCCGGCTGCCGGGCCTCGTAGTAGGCGAAGTACATGGCGGAGCGGGAAGCGGCGCCGACGGGAAGGTAGCCGGAGAGAGTGGGAAGCGCATCGCTGGGAAAGAGGGGCGTAGAGCTTGGTGGCGGCGCCGCGGAGGAAGATGGGAAGACAAGGAAGAGGGAGGCGAGGTAGGTGGAGAGGAGGAGCAGGGTGGCGAAACGGGATGCTGCCTCCATTGTCGCAGAGTGAGGGATCACACTGACCTAGCTCGTTCGCCGAGTGAGGTCTAGCTCGTTAGACTAAGACGAGAGGTGAGCGTCGGGCCACGTGGACCTCTCTCTCTCTCTCTCTTTCTCTCTGTATCTCTCTCCCCGTGACGGAGACCACGACGAAGTCAGCGGCCCGGATAATCGAAGCCCGGCAGAAAAGGTCTGGATCTTCCGCGTACGATGGTCTGGATCTTCCGAATAAATTGCTCGAGCAGTCAACGGCAGAAAAGGTTGAATATTATCTAAACCCCTTCAAGATATTTATTTCCAAATTATTCGAGGATTTATTTTTGTATGTTAACATAGCCACGTGTTCTGCTTAAGAAAATGGCAAAAGATTGCCACTTTGTGAGAAATATAATATTCAACAAATTGGGAAAATATATTGTCGTCGCGAAACCTATTTAACAAGATTAACAACTTGACATTTATATCAGGAAAATAATTGTTATAATCTTTTATGGATATATGAGTATATTTATAGAAATAGGAGATTTTTATTTTTACAGAAAAAACTTGTCGGTGGGAGCATGAATTTGATATTTTAAGGAAAATTTTAAGATAAATTTGTTAATGGGAAAATAAATAAATTATGAAGATAATATATATATAGAAACTTTAGCTCTCAGTGAATATTTTGAAAAATTTATCTGTTGTTAATTTAATATCGGAAGAATTTGTCCGTTTGAAAGGTGCTTCCGTCGCCCTGATGCTCTCCCTCCATCAACACGGATAGAATTTGGCGGTTGTTCTCCAGAGTCCTGATCTGGAGAGGATGCTGCTGTCCAACACTCTCGTGCGCCCATGGCCGAAACCGCTTCCGCTCGTTCGTCGCCGCCGTCCACCAGCCGGCAGCTTGTACCTCTTCTGTCGGAGCGAGAGCCCAGCTTCCCCTTCTTCGACGGTTCAGCGGTGGGGGTGGAGGCTTGTGGGTCGCAAGAACTTCCCCAGACGAGCCATTCCTCTCCCGGGCGGCCACGCCAACGGCCGTCTCTGCGGTTCGTCCGTTGCTTCGCTGCGCGTTCTTGCTTTCTGAAATAAGTTCTTCGAAGTTCTCTGTTTAGCTTTTATCTTGTCTTTTCCCTTGCGGCGGCAGAGGTGGGATGCTATACTTTGGCCCATTCCGTTCGTGGTAGAAGTGAAGTAGGCGAGGAAGCCGAGGGTGGAGGGGAGGAAGAAGAAGGAGAAGAAGAAGAAGAGGAGGAGGAGGAAGAGGAAGAAGAAGAAGAAGAAGAAGAGGAGGAGGAAAAAGCAGAAGCATCTGAGTTCGTCGAGATAGGTTACATCAGTAGTGTTCACGGCCTCCAAGGGGAGGTCAGAGTCAAATCCGTTACAGCATTTCCAGAGCTTAGATTTGGCGAGGTATATCTCAAGGATCACCCTTGACCGCTCATTCTTTCTCCTCTGAGATTCTTAGGTTATTTCTTGATTCTCTTGTTGGTGTCTAATCTCCTTACATTCTCACTTCCTCTGTAGCCCGGAAGAAGATGGCTGAGGACGCGTATCTCTGGAAAAGATGACGTCCGGGCGATGGAGCTGACGTGGGGAAGAAGCCACTCTGGACAGAAGACTTGGATCCTCAGCTTCAATGGGGTCGATACTGTTGAGGAGGTTGGTTGGTTATTTATTTTCTTCTTTTCTCGCCCATATAAATGCTTCTTTCCTGCCAACGACTGTTCATATGGGCATCCTCATATCTTTATCATATTGTAACCCAGTAACTGATTGTTTCAATCTGCTGTGTCTGGATCTCCCTCAATTCCATCCGTGTGTACTTGGCCGCCACCTTGAATTGAGTTCTTTATTATCACGATAATTTCTCTACTTGCGTTGATATTCCGTTTGGCATGATTGTAATTTTCAAAAATTCCCACCTTCAATTTATCTCGCAATTGAATGAACTGTGCAACCAGAAGAAAGGACCATTGATATCTGAGGAAGATTGGTGATGTAGAGGGAATAGAAAATTTATAATTGGACTCTAATTCGTTATCCCCTCTGTGTCACTATCACGTTTAAGGTATGTCTAAAGGAAAGGGCTCATGTTCTTTTTTATTTTGGACATTTATTTTCCTTCCTTTTTATTCCTCATATAATGCAGGCAAGGCAGCTTATTGGTTCTACGATTCTGGTGAAAGAAGGTGACAGACCGGAATTAGAGGAAGGGGAATTCTACACTCCTGATCTTTATGGCATGAAGGTTATTCTTAAGGTGAAAGTTTGCTCTTTTCTTTGTCTTAATGCTGTTCCCATAGGAGAAACTTCGGGAAAGGGGATCAAAGATGTCAACTTTAATTAATTTCATATTTTGAAAGCTGTCTTTTTCTTCATATTGGCTTGCAGATGTGACTAAAATCTATGAATGCCGATGTTTATGCAAGACTATCCCATCATGATTTAAATACATTAATTGCTCTACATGTAAATATATCCCACCTCCTTTTCCAGACTAATGTTGGATTTTTTTTTCTGTCTTGTGGAACGCTTAAAATCTCAACTTGATTAGAAATCATGTTTGCTCCTTTCGAGCTCTACATTGTTCTTTACAGAATTGACGCTATTTTTTTCTAATAATACAACATATATGAGGATTAATAACCCTTCTTTGTTTAGCTTCGGGCGTCATTATTCTTCATTTTTTCCCTCATTTTGGTCTCTTTTGAGTCTTCTCTGATTTTGTACGAAATATTGCTTTATAATATATTATTTTTTAACTCAGGAGACGGGTCAGGAAGTGGGGACTGTTGTCAATGTTGTTAACTATGGATCAAATGACCTATTGCAAGTGAGGCTCAATGAAACCAAGGGAAGTCATGATGGCAAAGGTTCTGCAGGCCCTCTGGTTTGGGTCCCCTTTGTCGAAGCTATTGTTCCTGATGTTGATATTGACAATAGAGAAATTTATATCACTCCTCCTAAAGGGCTTTTAGAGTTGAATATACGTTCTGATACGAGATCGAAGAAAGAAAGACGTCTGATGGTTTGGTCTGCTTCCTTGTAATAAATATCTTTTCTTCCTTTTTTCTTTTCATTCTGAAACATAACTTCTTTCTTGGTTTCTTTTGTCTGTTGTCTCTCTTGGTTTGTGGTCACTATTCCACAAACTATACTCTCCATTTTTCTATGCGTCTCAACATTTGTTTGCTGGGATTTACTATTATTAATTTTATTTTGCTTATGTGCGCTTCTTGAGTCAAAGAAGAATAGCTTGGAAGACAGACTTAGAAGTAGTATTTGATACGGTTATAACCATAGCTTTCTTGTGAAATATAAAGTTCATTCATCTTGGCAAGTGTGCTTAATTTTCTGATATGATATTGCGAAAGGATCAGGGGCAAACTTTTCTTCCTTCCTTTTTTTTTTTTTTTTGGTATCCTCTAGAAAAGGCTATGATACTTTTTTTCGAGTGTGTCCATATTTATGGATTTTGCTCTCTGCTATGAGACAACGTAATTTTGTTGCTTTCTTCAGGAGAAGCAATCGTTTCCCCATTAAATCTTTGGTGTACGGAAATCAGTTCCTCCCATGAGCTACTTCCGTAGTCAAGCTATGTACTTACTGTGAAACACTGATAAGTTTTGCATGCGTTTAGGATTATCCTTTGAATTTTTTGGAGTCGTAGCAGCAGGCTGTGTTGTCTTCTGTCCCCCAGATATTGCAAGCGACTTCTACAGCAGTTGCTATTTGCTTTTTTAAACATAGTTTCTGCAATATATTCCTTTTTGGTTATTGAAGCCGTTAACGTACATAAAATCTAACAATTCTGCTTATTCTTTTGGTAGAGCAATTCTGTCAACTCATTCTTGTCTTACCTTATGTTGTTTGTTTGGTAATTATCATTTGAAATTGGCTCAGGAATGGAGGGAAAGAAAGAAGCTTCAACAAAATTTGAGCTCAGCAAAGAAGACGTTGGCCGAAATAGGCCAGGAACATGTTTTAAGGGGGTTCACTTTTGGCGGAAAGGATCAGAAGAGATTACTTGGAAAACAGATCGGAAATATCAATCTGAGGTTGTTTCAACATGCAATGGGAAACGTCAGCAAACCCTTTGAAAGGTGAAATGACGCTCGTCAAATTATAGTTTTTTTTTTTATCTCTTGATACCTCGTTCCCTCATCATGCCATCGTGGAGACATAGTTCACCTACTTGATTTCTTCCTTGGAGGCCCAAATGTTCATGTTTCCCAATATTTGTTTATCATCACATTTATTTGTGTGCCTTTCATTTTTCTCAGTATTTATTTTGCCGCAAGTAAGCAGCTTTATGGAAAGAGGTAAACATTGAGGTGATTTCACTACAGAGAAATATCTCTCCTACATATACGACAGTTGGGATAGTAGTTCCGTAGGTAGGATGATTAGGCCCGTACAGCGGCCAGTAAAACATGTTTTCAAGTTGAAGCATACGAGCGTTGATGCTTCCCAACTCAATCGCTGGTGTAACGTAAGGCAAAGAAGCAGCTCAATCATTGGACTTTGTAGATCGATGTGCTGCTTGGTCGTCAGATCTTGCATAAGGGGTTCAAATCTTCTTTATTTATCAGAGCTCCCTGAGTAGAATAACTACTAAAATATCCGAGTCTCATTAAAAACAGGATTGTTGCTAATGAAGATTGCAACTCGATTACCTTAGTGCAAAGCATTGCGATGGAGAGCTATCCACTGCATGGATAGTTTATGTACATTGCCAGGTCCAGAACAGCGCCAGCTTTGCAGCTTCCTTATATTGCTTCTTGATTCATCTCAACTTGGAAGATAGTCCGATAAGTATTTTTTCCAACTTAGTTATGATTCTCCAATGGTGTTAGTCTCAACATTTAGGGGTTAAGATGTATGGATAATTGAGAGACTAACTTTGGACAGTTTAATTTCTTGAAAAAATCTCACATACCTCTTTAAAACCAAATTCACTGTGCCTCCTAAGCTGCCATTTGTATCTTGAAACTCTTTGAATTTTGAAGACTATTTTTCCTCTTTTGCAACTGGGAACCAAAGGCTCAAGTAGTAATATTTTCAGGGTGAAGTCTTCCTTCGTTACTTTGGCTATCAAGCAATGTTGATTCTTTTGTGAGCATCCGACCCAAATTCAAGTGTCCTGTTTGCTTTCAAAAGTCCAATTTTCATCCTGTTCTAAAATTTAAGAAGGATGAGTCATATGCATTGCTAAGCTTTCATTGGATAACTATTTGAATTGTGCATAAATTAATCATTCACGTTTAATACACAACACCTGGGAGATGCTGTAAGAACACAACATTTTATGGATAAATTGTTGCATTAATTGGGTAAAACGTTATTCTTCGGTTCACCTTCTCAACAACTGGAAATTACAGTCCACTAGTACCTAGTTTTTCTGCACTCGTAGGGTTTGAATCCAACCTTTGGCATACCATTCTAAATATCGCAAAATTTGGGCTTGTGTAGTGGAATTGCATTCTGCTGAAAAACTATTAGGCTGCTATATGTGATTTTTAGTTTTCATTAATTCTTAGGAGTATTTTCTTAACCATCGTACTTAATACAAGGTTTTGTCAACTAAAGACTAAGTGGGAATTAATTCTGATCACAGGGTTAAACTTGCATCATTCTCCTTGTGATGATTCCGCAAGAGACAACTTTTTGGGCTCTTGGATAATGTAAATGGAGATTTTCATCTCAGCAGGACAATCATAGGTCTCGGCATTGTGTTAACAGTAGGCTCATTAAAATTGATCTTTATTATTGTATTTTGCTCATAAGATTCAATTCGTCCCATCAGGTGTGGGATTATTCTAGCCACACTCATGGTTTATTCAGGATAAACGGTTATAATTGTTTTTACCATCATCGATTGTAGGTATTGTCATGGAATATGAAGTATAGAGGGGTATATCGCACCAGAAGTCATTAATTATATTGTGCTACATGAACCATGGAGTTCTACGAATTTGGATGATTATTTCACAGCGTGGTTCACGTTATGATCCGTTTTTTATGTGATGCTTGGCTTACTGTTGTTTCTTAACTTGCAGAAACAAAAAATATGCCAATTCAAGCACAATAGCGGAGAATGGCTGGGAAATATCTCATTATTCATGCTATAGCTCGTCCGATTGTGATGAGAACAAAGATCTACAGGGACTTAGAGCAGATGGACTTCGTCTAATATCAGAGTCCAAAGTTGCCATTATTTTAGTCCCAGAAAGTCAGAAGAATGAGAAGTGTCTACCTTCATTTTCTGAAGAAACCACATCTTATGTTTTGCAACTTAAGAATGCTCTTTCTGCTTATAGAGGATTCGCTGAGGTTCACTCATTCTTTTTTCTTTTTCATGCTTTGCTCTTTTCTTTTCTCTTTCATCATCTTTTGTATCAACCTGAGAAAACAAGAAATCAGTTGCTTATTTAATGAAGATTTTTATTTGTGGGGGGAAAATGTTTGTCAAGGAGTTCATTTGTCATACAAGAAAGATAGATTTTATTAGTTTTATACAATTTTCTGAAGAAATTGGGAAAATAACACTTAAAATTAGAGTCCAAATGAGAGTGAAAGAAAATTAACCTTTTCACTCTTTAATAAAAACAGGAGAAGCTTTTTCTAAGATCTGATAGCTCCATTGATTGGCATCCATAAAATATGAGGTAGTCTGGAGGATTTTCCTCACTATTTTCAGCTTTGGACGAGAGGAAATGGGACGGATCATCATCTTCACGACTGAAGTTATTTCTCTCTCAGCATATGATCGTTAGGTTCAGTTTCACCACAGTTTGCGTCAGTAGAAAGAAAAATAAATAAAGTAATGCAAAAGATGGCCCTGATTTATGTCCATCTCACGCCTTTTACTGTGCCCTATTATCAAATGTATGCCTGCCCTTTGCTCGTTTTCAAATTGTTTTGCTCTTTTTCAAATTGTTCTTGTTGTGAGTATGCACTGCCTTACTGAAAGGTGTTCCACATACTTAACTAAATCACATCGATTCTTTTGTTTTTCTACTAACCCTGTTTTTTTCCTAAGCGGGAATCATGGGCTTTCGTTCCGTTTATTTTTGCATAGTTAGTATGCATGCATTGAACAAAATGGTTTTATTATGTTGGTAGTCTGACGAGACTCTGATCTTGCGAGTAGGCCAATGAATGTGGATCTTCACCACCATTGACAATTCTCTCTCCAGCTCGTGATCTGAAGCCTTGTCAAGAGCTTTTATTGGGCCTAGATTACTTCGGCTTTGACAAAGAGAAGGTATGACTTGATTCCAAAATTTCATGAGAAATCATCTTTCTTGCTTGCAGCAGTCTTCCCTTGAAAATAGAAATCCCTTCTAGAAACCTATTTTAGTTGTCTTTCGTCTTCCCTTTCTGAAATTTGTGCCTGTATTTTTATAACCTTGGTGTCTAAATTCCTTTTAGGTCTGGCTTTTGGAGGAAGAGAAGCTACCTGTCGTGAACAGGGTGCAAAGTGATCAAGGCGGTCATAAGATCCTCTTAAGGTCGCCGTGGGAAATTATTGAGTCACCTGCGGGACCAGGAGCGATATTCTCTCCTCTCTCCTCTCACAAGATCGTAGATAATCTGAATGCAATGGGCGTGCAATATGTGCAGGTGGAGGATCTATTAGAACCTATTTTTTTGTGGACAGATTTATTCTCTTGCCCTTGTTTTTGTTTCACCGTTTCTAGAAACTGTTTTTTCGGTTAGGTTTTACTAAACTTGGCATAGTTTTTTCAAACTTTATTATGCTAATTTTGTGGTAAAGTTTTAGTTAGGAGACACAGTGGTTGGAATAGGAAAAAAAATGTAGAATGTATGTCATTACCTGCCCCTATAAAGTATTGCATCATATTATTATCTTTGACTTGGTAGCTGAAATATAAATCCTAACTGGTTCCCAAAATTGACTCTTGATATTATGGTTGGAATTTCGTAGGTATGCAGTCTGAGTCAAAGATGTGCTCCTGGGCATCTGTTGTTCCTGGGGTTGGTCAATGCACGCAAAGTCAACGTGGGGGTTAAGATCTTTAGTGATGCAGATGAAGATGATGATATCGACATGATTTTTTCTATGGAGTACTTGAACAAAGTGACCAAACAGATGGATGAACTACCCCCGTTTTATGCTGTTCCGAAGCAAAATAGACATGTTGAGCTGGTTGAGAACAGCTGGGCTGATGTCGAACCCAGCGAACCCAACTCTTATCACCTCTATTGCCCCATTCATGATATTCTGAACTCTTGTTCTATGGATGATGTCGCTGTTTTGAAGATTGTTAATTAATCCTTCATGGCAGAGGGCTTACTTGGTTTTATTGAGACATTATCCCACATTTGGGAAGAAAAGCTACAGAAAGTGTCTCTATAGTTCTTGGGTCCTGCCCATTTTGGGTGCTTGGCAAAATTATTACTAAATCGGGAAATATTTTACTGTATGAATTTGATGGTTGGAGTTCTGACATCAGGTTCTTGCTATAGCTTTGTCTCCTAGTGCAGCATCCTGTATTTAGGCAGGAAACATGGAGAAAAAATATATCTTGATTTGGATACTATGGTGGGCTCTTGTTCCCTCCGGGTTCTTGTCGGCAATCTGTCTGAACTCTTATTTATTTCCTGTTGAAGGCCGTGATTTTCTTGCCGTCCTGCACTGCTGCCTTCGTCAGATGGGCATCCAGAAATCGTATCGCTTCCGCACGTGCTTAGGGCAGTCTCACTCCAACGGCAGACGATATCCGGCGGCCGTCGAGCAATGGCACATGGGTATGAGACAAACTCTCTCTCTTTCTTTCTCTCCTCTTTCTCTCTCAAAATGTATGTCTGTCTATGTCACTCCCCCTCGCTTGTGCAACGTTGATAAAGGGGGAAAAGGCTAGGAATTGATGCAGAGAGACGGACTATGTCTTTCTCTTATTTCTTCCATTTTAAATGGCATACTTACCATTTATGTAATGTTTAGCTCATTTAAATGGGAGATGCGAGTTTTTATCTCCCACGTGCAGATTTTCATCAACCGTCGATTACGATGATCAAACCCGCTGTCATGGATAAAAGTTACTAAACTGTTTTTCTTATAAAAAAAGGGGTACTTCTACGCCTTAATCATATCGAAATCGTCAAGAGTGCATTGGTTTTCATGTTTAATAGGACCGTCATGGCATCTTTCCGGTGGATTACACCCGAGAAACTTGTCAAAAGGGAAGGCAACCCAGACATCGAAATTCTGGGTCATCTCTCCCTTCCCACCAACAGTGTGTTCTGTCCACTCTCAGAACCTTCATTTATCTCATGAATTTGAGCAGTAGAAATCATCCCTGTTACAGCTGTGAATAAAATATGAATTCTACGAAAGAAGACTCCACTTGCTTGACAGAAAAGCAAAAAAAGAGATCCAGCTGGAGGAGACAACCTTGACAGCTATCGCTCACGGAGCACAGCCACAATCCCGAGGTAGCCGGAAGTGTTGGACGGGCATGCGAGATCACGGCCATTTTCCTGGATACCCACGTCTGAAGACCTTATCTTCCGATTTACAGTTCTTTCTGGTTTTTCTGGATGATTGCAGGATCTTGGATTGCTCACCCAATGAATCGGGCTGTGTGAAAGGCGATTTCGATTCCCATCATCAGCCCATGTCAAATGGTTTTTTTTTTTGGGGGTTGATGAAGACGGCGATATATATGCATTATTGGGAAGAACCCCTCCGTCTCTGGTGAACGAATTTGGTTAGTAATCGTGAAGGTAAGAAAGAGATACATGATGGTTAGTCTGAGAGTTTGTAGCAGGGAAATAGGAAGAAATAGACACAATCTTTCCATTTATGGGCATGAAGTTAGATAGTGAACAGGTTAGAAGAAGTATGAAATGATGCTAATCCTAGGATCCCTCTCTAGTTCTCCTAAAATTTCTTCTTCTCCTCGGTTACAACTCCGGAATAGGAGAAGAGCAACGGCTGAGAGCTTCAAGTATATGGACAGATAGCGCACATGGAACACAGTTTGGCGATTTGGCCAGGAATAACAAGAAGAGAGTAAGTCGAGTGCCTGTTTCGGGGCCTGCGAGTTCAGTCATGCCAGCAGAGGAGCATAACAACACAACGCCGGATGATGTACAGCCTCGCCCGGTACTGCCTCATGGCACCGCTTAGGGCCCTCGTCGTCAGCCTCCTCTTGGGACCTTCCGGGGAGACACCGCTCGACTTCATCTTGGGATTGTAGGAGAAGAGATGAAAAACCACGATATCTGGTAATGCTTCGGGCTGAAGATACACCGGAGTAGTAGCAGCAGCCTGAGAAGGGAGGAGCTGATACGAGGACAGTCCATTATTTATAGAGCATTGACGGTAGGTGGGAAGACCACTACAGGGAAGCTCGAGCTAATGGGTCCGCCTCATCCAACTTGTAGATCGTTGCACGCTCAATCAATCATCAACAGCAGCGACAAAAAAACAGCGCCGTCGCCATCCGTCTACAAGAAAGACAGGCCCCTGGAGAGATGTCGCAGAGCCGTCACATTACACATCAAGCCAAGGTAGCCGGCGGCGTCGCCTACTTGCTAGTGTCTCACCCGCCGTCCCAGGTCTCCAATCGCCAGTTGTCCTCAGTTCAGTCAAATCTTGCCACAGACAGCTACGAGGCAGCGTTAGGCATAAAATTTCGAGATTCAGTGGGGTCGAGTCAGACTCGTCCTCAACCCTAAGTTCTTGTCCATCAAATCCAAGTTCTTACACATTTTAGTTGCGGGGGAAACGATCACACTTTTATCACTATGCTTGTCTTGGGCCTGCTAAATTGAATCTTAGCAAAGACAACTCTGAGACAAGGTTAGATATCACAAACTACAGGTTTAAAAAAAGGCAAGTAGACTCTTCCCCTAACCCAAAGTTCTTCTCGATTCAATTCTGATTCTAATACATGTTACAGTTCCAATGACAAAAAGTCAGACCTTTATCAATACATTAAACTATAGTTATATTGTACAAAGACATTGCTATCTTTCCTTTCGCCGCTTGACTACTAACCACTATGCTGGTCAAGCTTGTAATCCTCTCAGTTGTATTCAGACCGTGAACATGAATGAGTGTTCTTGGAGTACATCAGAGCCCTTTCTACGGCCCAATTCTCTTTCTCTCTCATTGACATCTCACTAGGACCTGAGATTTATGCTCTTTGATTACTCTTCGTAGCCAAGAATCTATGCATAAGTCGTCATTTTTCTCTTGACAAACTACTCAGATATCTATTATACGGGTCGAGCTTGTCAGGCTCCCAACCATGTTCAACTAAAAACTTGTAAGAAAATCGGTGCAATCCTTGAACATTCTTCTGGAGTATCCATCGTCTGTCTCTACAAATGTTGACCTATCCACCTTTCCTCAGTTGGTGGATACCGCGACTAGATCCATTACCGCGACTAGACCTATTCAACCACATGCGTAGAGAGACGTTTCTCTCCCTTTCCCCAAATTTCGCGGAACATCTGACGCGCGCCCGGCCTGCTGAATTGGATGACACCGACCGAATCGAAATATTCATTGCCGTGGATTCCTACGATTGGAAAAGAGAGATCCCACTCACACGCGCGGTTATGTTGCTATCCTTCGATTGCCTAGTGTCATGTAAGGCGTGAACAGGACCATTGAACATGGTATCTCCACAGGCCTTACCCCTCCCTCCATCTGTCTCTCGGTCTCTCTCTCTTTCTCTCTCTCTGTGCCCGCCTCTAGCTCTCTCCGTCCGTCCGTCTGTCACTCTCTAGGATTAACATATGATTATACCTTCTCAGGTTGTACTTTGGCTTTACTAGGCAAACTTCATTCGATCAAATGCTGCCCAAAATAAACTAGGCCAAGAGGGCAAGAGTTGATATCGTGAGATTTTAGTTGTCAGGGACGAATGGATTTTGAACGAAACCAAGATCCTCCCTCATCCCTGTCAACGGAAATACAAGTGGAAAGAGAGAAGAATTACAATTGGAGATAGTGAGCAGATGGAATCAAAGGCTGGAAAGGTACAAAAAAGCTGATATCTAGGGAAGGAAGGAGCGAGGGAGGGAGAGAGATGGATATATATTTATATCCTAGGAGGGGGAGAGACGGAGAGAAGAGAGAGAGAGAGAGAGAGAGAGAGAGAGGACATTTATGTCCTCTTCTAGTCCCTCTTCCTCCGCCGGTGGTGCCTTGGGTCTGTCCTTTGAACAGGAAGATGTGCAGAGGCAGGGTCAGAGAGAGGGAGGAGAGGGAAGGGTTCCTTTGCACCTTCCATGATATCTATTCACTATTTAGGTCGTGGTATGGATGGCTGTAACGAGCCACATATCCCCAACCTTTGATGGGTCTGGGAAGAGAGGATATCACAACGACGGAGATAACGCAGGGGAAGAGCTTTGGTGGACACTAATGCGGAACTTACTGAATTCACGACGACAGAATCTGGACGATCTCATCAGTATTTTTCAAACTTTCTGCAAGTTCTTGAAGGCCTTGTCGCCAGTGCCATGATTCTATCCCATAACTACTCTTTTGCCATCACGGGGCTCGCCCGTATCATCGGTAGGGGCCTCCCGGGAGCAGAAAATGGGGAGATCAGACGTCGCACGTGCGGGAGACCAACGCCTGGTCTCGGCTGCCAAACTGATGTGAAAGGCCATTACTCGGCGGGGACAACGTTGCGGTGGGTGCGGCTGCAGACGGCGTCTGATAGCACATGGGCGATTGATAAGTCTCCACTTGGTGTGGGATCCGCCGTCGCAGTTGAACCTGCAGTATCTGTCTCCTGGGTTTCGAAAATCATGAATCGTCTCGTTTTCACCCTGCCGGACGTCGCTGGAGGTGTCATCTATCTGTTCCGATGTCTCTCCTTTGTGTTCCAAGAAACTGATGATAGCTGTGAGGATTAATATCGTCTATTTGTCGCAGACGAATACTCTTTCAACCAGTGGGGAATAAGTTCATTTCGGTACCTCACTCCTTACTGAGGGGCGTCGGACGACGAGGCACAAAGCAGGACGGATACCTTTTCCTGAAAAAATAGTTGGTTAAAGGATGCTGAACTCTGATATGAACTAATCATTTTGAAAGTTTATGGCCATTAATAGGGAAAAATTGGAAAAATGAGTTAAGGTTTAGTCTTTAGGTCCCGGCCCAGATATACATGTGGAAGGATGGGTGCATGGCCTATAAAGAGAAGATAATGGATTATCCCGCGGATTGTCAACAATCTGTTATATAAGGGACACACTGGGCTGTTGCCGAGAAGAGATCATATTGCGTAGACTTCGGAGACTGTCGCGCAGAAAACATACCTAAACCATGGTGCACTGTTATCTTCCTCCGATGAGATATCCCCCGAATGCATGAAGGGTCTTACACAAGTGTTGTGAATAGATCTAAATGCACACAACAAAAACATATATAGAATGCAAGTAAATGCAAAGGGAGAAGAAGAATGAAGCGGAAGAAACACACCAGAAGTTTTACGTGGTTCAACAAGCTTACTCTACGAAGCCGTCTCCTTAGATCTACTTTATTGATATATATATATTATAGGGAAAATCTGAGAATAGTCCGTTTTCCCTACTCCTTGGATTCTCTCGTCGTTGCTGCCCTAGCTTGGGTTTCTCGTCTGCTGTTGTTTGTACTGGCTCAATTCAGATAAACTCTTATGTACGATTTTTATCTCCAGCCCTTATATATAGGCTTAATCGTAATCTGTGTTTGCAGCCTCTTGATAGACCGTCTTCGGGCCCAGAAGATGGCTGTTGGATCAGCCTCAAGACCCCCCTTTTTCTTCCCCATGTTTCATATCTGAAGGCCCCACTGAATAAGTCATATAACCCAACACCACCAACAACCCCAGCATGGTTTTGATTGAGAAATGGATATAGTCGGACTGAGGTGTTTTTTCTGTTAAAGTCTATACTCGTCATGTTATGTATGATAAAGATCATTAAATTAAGGAATGCTTGCTTCATCGTTATCTCTAGCTGATACCAGTTCATAATATTATCTGTCCTCGATATTGTTATCGAGAAAATTTGCCTTTTTATTTTATATTGCGTTTGGAGAAATTACATTGAAACTTGTGCTATAAACCCTTAATTAAAAGAGTGAGTGAAACTTTCCATCCTCAAAAATCCGAAAACATTGAGGTCGGACTCTCTTAGTTGCCTTTTCAGAAAATGAAATAAGAAGTAATCCGTCTATCTCTTTATAAACTTTAAATACATGAAAGTACAAAATTTCTTTACACTAGTGTTTTCAGTCATTGCAACCTCATCTTGGTGTTGCTTCCAGACCATTTCTTGATCTTCTTCGTGAGATCATATGTACATCAGGTTGACGAGACCTATGACTAAATCTGATCTGTCTTCCTTCCCAATTCGCGGAGCTAACGCTCCTGACCATTCATCAACGAGTATTAGGTCACGATCCAAGCGATTGTTGAATTCGAATCGTACGGTAAATGAATAGTGCTGTACGTGTGTTCACGGAGAAGATGAAGGTGTACTGCAATCGATCTACTTTTCTTCTTTCTCATTGCACGCGTTGTGCATATAGTTTGGTCTACAGATATTAAACCTAGAGCTGTTTGGATCCCCACGAGCACAACTGGAGCAACAAGATAAAGATAAAGACTGCTGAAATTTTCTGGGGAGGCTGGAGGACACGGGGCTTTTGAAGAACAATAGTTCGAGGTAAGTTCTTGACTTTTTGGTGAAATTCAGCGAACCCAACATCATCTCCATCCCCGGTTGGTACACATCACATTCCTACATCACCTTACCCAACCCTTTTCTATCCTTTCCCTCTGACTACTTTGTATCTGGTAGATTTCGCTGGAGCGCTAAATTGTTTCGGCTTCAGGTGGTATCGAACAGTTCTGTCATGGCCAGCAGAGCCCATGATACGGAAACCATTTCCTTTGATATGATATCTAGGCTATAAAACTGTAGACTGCTTCAATTCCCAATGTTAAAACCGAGGCTATAAAGCTGCTGATATTTACCAGTTGCGAGACCTCATCCGATTTTATGATGGCATATTCCCGGAAGGGAGACTTAAAAGTCAGTCGTTCTCTCCTATGCTTACAAAACTGTAGGCTTTTGAGGGTATACAAATGAAAACAAATTCGAGCAGTCGTACACTGGGGGACCCATTTTCAAAGCTACCATTGTGGTTTTATAAGTCTCGACTTCTGGAAGAGAGGTATTGGCCAAAGAGTTCTCGAGGTGTGCGAGGAAACACGAACCCCAAGAGAGAGCTGCGAGAGCTTCCCTCTCGATATTGCCTTTTTTCAGACGACAAGATTCTCCGCGCTGAGTAATCACAGGGTAGATAAAAGTATTCTGAAGCACAGGAGGCAATCATGAAATTATCTCTGCTGTTTTTGACTCGATGAGAGAGAGTCTACGTCAAGAGTCTCTCTTAAGTGAGAGAGAGAGAATCGAGTTTTGGTTTATCTCTCTCCTCATCTCTCTATCTCTTTTCTGTCTTACTTTCTTTCGTAATTACTCTCAACCGATATGTTGAGAAAAGGGGAAAGGGATGTGGAAAAGGAGGGGGGGACAAATTGGGTTAATGGATGCATCCATTTGGGATCCCAAAAGGCTATTTATGGAGCACCATTGAACGACAAAGCTTGGGTTGTAGCAGGCATTCGCATGGGAAGAGATCCATTTAAGTTCCGGTAGGTTCTCTTCTCTAACTGTAAATCTTCTATACGGTGAAAATCTCTTTCACTCTCCTCGAGGATGTAAGAATATTTCTCTAAACCACGTACATCTCTGTGTGATCATCTATTTGTACTCTTCTCTGTTTTTCTTTCTTCTATTTTCACTTTTGGGTCTTGTGGCACGCACGTACTTGCTGGATGACATCCAAAGGTTACCTAATAACCATTTTGACGCATAGGGGAGATTTACGCATCCTCGGGAGATTAATGCGTAAATCTCCATTACGAAATGAGATTTAAATCTTTGGGGAACGACAAACTGGTTGGCATAAAGGGCGAAAATTCCAGAGAATGAGACGAACATGTAATCAGATATGCAATCTATTTTCTTAGGCAGGAATCCATCAGTTCTTGAATATTTCTACCCAACATTGAGATACCAAGGAGAGGATCCATCAGTTGCTTATACCTAATATCCAGCACCTGATCTGAGGTTTCTTTGTAATTAATTCCACTTTTTTTTTGATATCGTAACAGTGTTTGACTAGAAAGCCTAAATTTCTCTTTTCAAATGTTATATTTCGACGGTAAAGCATTAAACGCGTCGACGGATAATGTCGTAAACTTTCTACTATAGTGCATTATACGTCGTATTTATTTCATGAATTATATACACAATAGTTTCCGAAAGAAAGGATCTACCGAATCCATGACACTAAACCCATTTTTAGCGTTGCGTAGTACATAATGAACCAAGCGGAGGGTTGCCTCTAAAATCTTCTCATATGTACGGACATCAAGCTTGGTGAAAGAAGAGCGTCAAGTCCTTGACCACAAATACACAAATGACCGTAACAACGCAAACAAAGGAGATGAAGCAAGGAAGAAAAGGTCGTAGACAGCGTGCCAAGGTAGTCATGGCGCCAAGGATACTTCAAGTTGGGGGAAAGAAGAGCTTCGAATTCTTATCAAGAATACACATACACTGTGCTCACTACGACAACGGTGGAAGGGAAAACGAAGGCGAAAAGATCGTAAATATCCGGCCGAGGTCAGTCGTGCCAGCAGAGGAGCATGGTGACACATCGCCAGACAATGTAGAGTCTTGTCCGTTGGTGAACCAAGGTCCTTCCCGTCGACCTTTTCTTGGAACTCTCCATGGATCTGCCGCTCACCTTCATCTTCGACTTTGAAAAGAACAAGGACGACGAGGCTGGTAGAGCTCGAGAATTACTCTGCGAAGATGATAGCTAGGGGTTCTGGTATTGTTGTAGCAGCTACGGGAGGAAGAAACGCTGCGAGGGCAGGGCATTATTTATAAAGATTTTGTGAAGACGAGAAGAAGAGTTCTTCTCACCGGGTTCCCCCGGCGATTCCTTATCCATCCATTTAGGCCAAAGTGACATCGATTCTATAGGATCGGGAATGACGACGAAGAATGAGTGGTAATTAAAGAGTGCCGCGGTCATATTCCTCTACGCACAAGAAGCCGAGGAAGACCCTCCCACTTGCAGATACTCTTCCCACCTTTCCATTGGACCGAACAATGCTTTGGAAGCAGACAGAGGCCATTCTTTCTCTAAGTGACGGTCAGAGACAAGCCTGGCACGAACAACTAAGGAAGATGGACATGGTGGGAAGAGGACGTCGCTTCGAAGCTCTGGAGAGAGGGGATATCACGTGGAGTTGTCGTGAAGAACAATGAACAGATCTCTTCCCCATGGTCGGTACCTTTTCGTCAACACGCCATCTTATCAGCTTTGAGTGAAACGAGGAGTTGGACAGTGAACTCTTCTCCTCGGTTTGCTTGGGGAAGTCCTTCATGGCTAGTACAACATGGCCCATTTCTAATCTTCGAGCAACGACATAGTTGGCCAGCCGATTTCTTGATCTTTGTCCTCCTTTAGGCAGGTGGAAAGGAGGATGATAATGTAGTCCGTGTTCATCTCATTCCCAAGTTTTCTGTCCTACAGCTAGAGTGGGCCGACTGAATGCGAAAGACTAAATATCCATACCGAAACTAGAGCGATTCCATATATGACTTAGATGGAGAATCAAGAGACCCAACGACCTGGGGATACGACAGTGAGTAGATACCTCTCCCTGCAACTAGCAAATGAAACAAAGGATGTGATAGACTCGTTCCTTATGCCCATTCTTCAAGAGCCCCGAAACTGTGTGCTCGAAGCAAGCCCCATGACCTCATGAACTCGCAAGCCGAGGGAATTCGGTGGAGATACTCCAGAACCGCTCGGGTAACCCGTAAGATGGATATTCTTCGCACTAGGCCCGCCCGGGCCACTGATTATTTCTGCCCAGCCCAGAAACCGGTCTGGACTTTTTGTAAGGCCGGTTCATTGGCGTCCGTATAAGTTGTATACTGCTTATCGGTGATCAGCTGTTTTTATTCTTGGTCTCATATTTGACACCATTGTCTGTTCACTACACTTACACCTTTCGTTTCTGTGGTCGCTTCTTTTTTACATCGGGTAACAAAATATAAATAATGAACGTAAGATCAAGTGACATTTTAGAAATAATGAACGTAATAAAATATAACTGATTTTTTTATTTTGTATGAAAGAAAGGTGAAAAGCGGTAACGTTTTTCTTGAAATTTTAGTCCATTATAAATTTGAGTGGATCAGTGGACGGTGCATGAGATTGACTGAGGAAATCGGCCTAGCCAGCTTGTATGGGTGCGAAAGATCAATTATTTCAAGTGACATTCTTGCCGGATATAAGGGCCATTATAGCCCAATTCTACGGGCAAAACACGTAGTTTTTTTCGTCGTTTAAAATGTACTTAATCTAACTGGAAAAGGGGAGCTGATGGCTTCATATCCGCATGAATCGAGATCATCCTGACAGTGAAAGAAAAATAACTCAGAAAGGTTCTATCAGGCTGCTGGCCTTACATAGTGTTAACCAAGGCTATCACTAGACAGAAGAAGAAAAAAAGAATCGGAAGGTCGAAACCGTTCTATCAGGCTGCTGCTTTGCTCGAATTTCTATGAAAGCTGGTCAAAGAAGAAGGCATCGGCCAGAGGATTATGCGGAAATTAGGAATTCCATTAAATCCATGGGGAGATAATCTTGTCGTCCATTCATTTATTCTGGTTCTCTTTAGTTGTGGGGGCAATCGTAGAGAATATTGTAATACTCCTTTATTTAAAGTGAGCTTTTGCCACTTGATCCTGTGGGATTTTAGCTCTTGACCTTCTAGGGGTTTCTCATGTGAATTCGATCACCCCTGTACTGTGACATGACATGACCTTCTAGGGCCCCCTGGTATTACATGTGCGTGGTCTGATCAACTCAGTGAAGCAAACGCATAGGATGAAAATCCTTCTTTCAATTCTGTTTTTTTTCACCCAAACAGTTACCGCTAGTTTATTAAAATACTCCAAGCAATTCATTCCGAAACTGGACGGAGAAAAACCTTTAACAAGAAGTACGACGAGGCTGCGGCGCGTCAGCTGGCGGGGTTGCAAACGGGAGATTCAACGTAGGGTCGTGGAGAGGGTCTCCCAGACTTCCAAGAGAGAACAGTTTTCCTCTTCATGCTTGCTCCCAGAAATCCGTGGTTGGAAATCGATCGTTAAAGATCGATGTGGGAAGATCTGATCCGTTACCGGAAAGCCGCAGCAGATAACACAGCTGCCTTTCCTCCTGTTTTCTTTAAAGGATGAATCGGAATGGGCGAGACAGAAAACAGCGAAGCAACTTCAAGAGTCCGTGAAGACGTGGAAAAACTCCCAGGATATCCAGAATCTGAGTTGAAAACGGAGAACAGGTCGTGGGTCTTAAACAGTACGATGACGCAGAAAAAACTCTCGGAAAACCCAGAATCTTATTTGACAACAAACGACACATTCTGGGTCTCCTCTTCTAGAGTTCTTCGCCGGAACGCACAGAGTGTGTGTGTGTGTGAGCGAGAGAGAGGACAGGGATTATGAGGGTACACCCAATTGGTCAGAAGATGCGCCTTAGAGTTATCATTTTATCGCGGAAATTCTTGAGCACAGAAAACCGGTTTAAAGTGTCTATTAGTCCACGCCGGTCTGGTCAGTGGTCAGCGGAGAAGGCGGCGGCGGTGGCCAGAGAGCCGTTGGCTCGTGAGAGAGGAGAGAGAAAGGCGAAGGCAGAAATTCGTGATTAATTAAGTGAACAAACGGATGCATATATTTATACCAGACCGATCGTAGTGGGTAGGATCTCATTAACGGGTTTCACTTACTGGGACCCAGATCCGACCCACCCGCCAACGGAGAGGATACAGATGCAAGAAGCGCTGGACATATATTTAAATAAAGATATGTTATGGTAAGGATGCCATATCTCGTTTCCGACACCATTTTGGCTGATTTGGTTAGGACTCGCGCGAAGCTTTTAAATGTTCATATCTATTACCTGCCGGCGAATTTCGATCTTCCACGTGAGGTATGCTAATGACAATTAAAAGTCAATGGTCTGACCGGTCAGACCTAGAGTAAAATCGTCGTAGAATTAGAATAATTCTGAATGATCAAACAAGGAACAAGAAGATATTACAGTTAGCGAATGGCAGGCTCTTTAATGTTTTCGCGTACGCTCGTAGTATCAGAGATATCTCCTGTCTTGCTGGAGGCGTATCCGGTGGCGAGGTCAACCGGCAAAGAACAATCTTAGTCAGCTCAGGAAGCTACAAGGAAACGGGGATAATATAGTCAGCCCTGCATCAATCGCCGGAGACGGCCGCCGGTGATACACGTGGATGGACCTGGTTGTCCAGATTCTCACATAAGGACAAGATTCCGGCGGCTATATCACCGGGGAAATTATGAGTTATTTATTAGTTCTCTGACGTCGGACGAATGGCGGAGCCATAAACGACCGAAGGCTCTCGGTCGGTGCGAAGCAATAATTCACTTGAATGCTCAGAAATCTATTCCTTAGTGAGATAGAGAACCCATTCTCTTCTTGAAGTTGGCTGGTTTTCGACATCTGAAGGAAGGAGGGGTAAGAATCTATGAACACCAGGGGACTATGCCCTATGCTGAGGTTCATGGCTACACAATTCCTCGTGGTAGCCTTCGTCGTCCTCTTCAGCGCCAGTAGCCGCCGCGCCGACACCCTCAACAACACTCCTCTGAGGAGCTCTTGCTCAGGAAACTACAGCACCGGGAACAGCATCATTCGGGCTAACATAGATACTCTTTTCTCATCTCTTAATTCCAGATCTCCCTTCTCCAACTTCTACAACATCACGGCCGGAAATGGAACTGATACAGTATACGGCCTCTACATGTGCGAGGGCGACCTCTCCTCTGACGACTGCCGGAGTTGTATTGGAGCTGCCACCTCCGACATCCTGGAGCAATGTCCCTCCAGCCGGCAGGGGATCATATGGTACGACTACTGCCACCTGCGATTCGCCGATCAGAATTTCTTCGGGATTATGGATTCCAGAGGCTTCCCCATGATAAATCCCTTCGCTACGGTCGACAATCCGGAGCTGCCTCTCGCGGTTTTATCTCGACTTGTAGAGGAAGCACCATGGTCTCCCCTAAACTTCGCTGCCAACGCCTCCGTCACGGCCGGAGTCTACGCGCTGGCTCAGTGCACCGGAGATCTTTCCAGAAACAGCTGCAAGAGCTGCCTAGATGAGATTCTAAAAAACCTGAAGAGTTGTTGTGCTGAAGCTCAAGGCTATCGCTACTTGTCTCCTAGCTGCTGGATAAGGTATGAGTCGACGCCATTCCTCAGGAACGTCAACAGCACGTTCACGTCGATCGTCGTTCCCCGTTGCCCCAACGAGAGCATCCCAGAAAACAGAGCAAATGCCTGGGAGGAGACCCTCAGCACCCTGCTTTCATATGTGACATCGAACAGCTCTCGGAATAGAGGCTTTGCCACAGGTGAGATAGGAGACGGCGGCGCCGTCCTCTACGGGCTCGCAATGTGCAGGCCCGATATCGCCGATTCCAGCAGCGATTGCCAGAATTGTCTAAACAACGCGAGCAGTAGTATGAGACAGATGTGCCCTATGAGGACGCGAGGTATCATCTGGTACGAGCAGTGCGAACTCAGGTACTCCAACCAGAGTTTTTTCGGGACAGTGGATGAAGTGGGGAGGACATTCTGTAGCTTAGAGGATAGTTCTGTGGCCTATGCTTCTGCGACACTGGATCTGATGACAAAACTCGTCGAGGAGGCACCGAATAGACCGCTCTTCTCTGCGGCCGGAAACCAATCTGTTGGGAGAACAGAGTCAAGTTATGGTCTGGTCCAGTGCACGAGGGATCTCAGCAGTGAGGACTGCCGGAGCTGCCTGACGAAAGGGATGGTGGAGGCATCCTCAACCTGCAGGATGAGACGGGGTTGGAGGTACCTGTCCGGCAGCTGCAACCTTCGTTACGAGAAGTTTGCCTTCTTCGACGCCTCAAGCTTGTCTATCGCCGCCACAAACAGCGGTGAGTAATCAGCTTTCGAATCCCATACCTCAAGAGATGACTTATTTTAGTCTAATTTTGCAAGGGAATCTGCGATCATTTGCATGTTCATGATATTCATGTGAGAGTAAATATATCACAAAATAACTGCCGGCTATCTAATACCAATAGGTGAAATTTAACTACTGAAAGAGAGTTAAATTAGGGCAAGTCCAGGCCACTCCGTGGTATCTCTAACATTTGTCCTTGATTTAGAGCTTTGTACATCATTTTTGTCATTGATCGATAATTTTGCAGAGCTCAACCCGAGGAATAAACGTGTAATTTGATATTCTATCCATCTATGATTTAGATCCGTCGTGATCTGTTGCTGATGAATGGAACAGCACTGATAAATAAAATATACTGTTCTATCATAAATGTAGGGAGCGGGAAGTCAATTGGGAAGTTGATCGCTGCCATTATTGTTCCGTCTCTGGCAGCCGCTCTCTTCTGTTTAGTCATTTACCGAATGAGGCTGAGAAAGAAGACACGTCAGGGTACCTATCTATTGACACTATCCTCAGTATCAAAGTCAAACTTGTCTATTTTTTTATGGCTGGTGTAATTTAATCCCCCTATGACGACTGCTTGATCGGGATCCTCTTCACAGATGTGCAGAAAAACTCCGTGAAAACGTACCTGGATGGGTTGGAGACCCTGGACAGCACAGATCTGCGCTTGGTTGACTTTGAAACAGTTCTAGTCGCTACGGATAACTTTTCTGAAGCCAAAAAGATAGGACAGGGCGGCTTTGGTGTAGTTTACAAGGTAAAAATGTTGGTCTTCCTTCAGCAATACTTTTCTGTTAGTCACTAAATTCTCTAAGATGGAGACAACATCAGCATTATTAAATGAGTAAAAAATCCCTCCAGGCGTTACTACCAGGAGGAGAGAAGGAGGTCGCAATCAAGAGGCTTTCGGCGACGTCGAAACAAGGCTTAGAGGAGTTTGAGAACGAGGTCACGCTAATTGCGAAGCTTCAGCACCGGAATCTCGTCAGGGTGTTGGGCTGCTGCGTGGAAACGGAGGAGAAGATGCTCATCTACGAGTATATGCCTAACGGAAGCCTTGACGCGATAATTTCTGGTTCGTTGGCTTCCTGTTGTAGATGTCATGTTTTTCAGTGAGATAGTCCAGTTAACGACGACTACAACAGTCCAGATTCACTCACGCCATCCCGTTTTTCACGAAATTTTCTTCTGCAGATGAAAGAGGGCGATTGCTCCTGGATTGGAAGACAAGAGTTAACATCATCTTAGGGATCGCAAGGGGACTCCTCTACCTTCACGAAGACTCTCTCCTTAAAATCGTCCACAGGGACTTAAAACCCAGCAACGTTATGCTGGACGAGGAGATGAACCCCAAGATTTCAGATTTTGGAATGTCAAAGATCTTCAGAAACGATGAATACGAGGCCAACACGGGGAGGCTCGTCGGGACTCTGTACGCAGAATTTCTTGCTTTTATCCTTTCTTCTATTCCAAGAAGCCATCGAGATTCACTCTGTCGTCTTCATCTAACAGTGGCTACATGGCCCCTGAGTTCGTGCTGGACGGGGTATTCTCCGTGAAGTCAGACGTCTACAGCTTTGGAGTTCTCATGCTGGAAATCTTGGCCGGAAAGAAGAACGGGCGAGCGCACTTTAAGCAATACGGTCAAACCCTTCTAAGACAAGTACTCTCCCCTTCTTCCTCGTCACCTGAGAATTTATTCCCTTATTTAGAAATTATTCTGAAAAACAATCGACCCTTTAATAGGCTTGGAAACTGTGGGTTGAAGACAGGGGGTCCGAGGTGGTCGACCCCCTGATCCAGGACTCCAGCCCGCCGAATGAAGCGTTGAGATGCATCCACATTGCGCTGCTGTGTATCCAGGAGAATCCCAGAGACAGACCCACCATGTCCGCCGTCGTGCTCATGCTGATGAGTGGTCAGATGGCACTCCCGGAGCCCTCGGAGCCGCCGTTATTTTCCAGAGAGAGGTCCTCTACCGAGCTGGTGGTGCCGAGCTATAAGGAAACATCAGTGAATGAGCAGACCATCACTGTGCTACAGCCTCGGTGATAGTCGGGATCATGGGACTCGACTCGAGGAGCATCTCCATCCAAGCTCAGAAAGGAGAGATAGGCATAACTATAAAGAAGGAAAAGAAATACAAGTGCAATTGGGCACTAGTTCTAATTCTTTAGTTACATGGATAAGCTCATTAATATTATGAGGGGTAATAATATCAACATTTTTTAACTAGGTAAACATATGTATCATTTAAGGTGAATCTAGACATTTATGATAGTATATATCAAGAAAAGTTTTGAAATAATTTCCTTTACCTCTCCATAGAGGATATTAATGATGGATAAGCTCATTAATCTTTAAGATTCTCACAAGATAGACAACCTTGAGATAATTAATATTTTGACTTTCTATTAAACCTGAAAGATATTCATAAAAAAATGTATTTTCGTACTTGAAAATTTTGACTTTCTATTAACCCTGAAAGTTTACTTCTCTTCACAGATTATAATATCTTGTTATTGTTGAAAAGAGTCTCTTTCCATGTTTTTGAAGAATGAACGTGATAATGGTTATGAGAAGAAAAAAGTTGGTGAAGGCTCAATTAAATGTTTACTAACTTCAACAACTTAGTAATTAAACATTAAGATTCATCAAATTTTCCAGGACCAAAAAGGATATGTAAAATTGGGAGAGTCTCATTATAAAGTGACATAGAAATTTAATGTGGATAAATTTCATCGTTTAGTGTTCAAAAATATTTTTCAATTCTACAACATGCACGAATTTTCAATTTAAAATTGTGGACATTTCATGACCCTGAATGGTTGCATTTTGTCTCCTTGTACAAAACCTAAGCCCACTGAAAGTTTAAATACTTTGTTTTAAGGCAAGAAATGCCCATAACAATTTGGAGTTTGGCATGTCCATTTAACATTAGGGAGGGGGGTTGCCCTCAAGCCTCTAGCGTGGGGGCGCTTCCCCTCTTCACCGAATGACCATTGATTTCACCTATCAATTTGAAAACTAGAGATAAAATGTTTGCATTCGGAGTTAAAAGAGTAATTTGACTAACGCGTCATCCGGTGCTTTCTTTCTATGCACGAGTTCAAAGTCACTCCCTCTAGAGGCACCTTGATTGAAGCGATCTCCAAAGAAGAGCCGGCTTACAAAGAAGAAAGGGTTCTAAAATTGATGTTCTGAGGTCGGCGGCTTTACTTGATGGATAGCTTTATCACATGAACTTATTAATAAACGGCTTTATCACCTTGATAGCTTTATCAAACTCGCATTTAATGTAGAGAGGAGGACAGAGTGAGAGGGAGAAACAATCAGCCGGAAGCTTGATTCTTACAGACTCAACGGCCTATTTATAGACTGAACAGGTCACGAAGCGGAATGGTGCAGACGAATGAAAATAATGGAAACCGTTTGGCATGTTTCCTGCGGTTTTTTATTAGCACGGTTATTGAGGTGGTTGGAAGGTACATATAAACAATGGGCACCTCTACTGACTCGGGACAGCGCAAAACAATCTCTAGTGTTTAGAAGAGTCTTCAGAGAAGATTTCTTGAGTTAGTGAGTGCATCAGAAGGTCAAGATCAATGATCTATTCTTTGAGACCTTAGAAGAATCAAGAATAAAGATTTGTTCTCTAGGTTCTTGAGGAGTGATTCTCTTGTACTAATTTTAACATCTAGTGGAGCTTTTGTCGTCGCCCATAGACATAGGAGGCTAACCTCCAAATCACGTAAAATCTTTGATTCTTATGTCAGTACTCTTGTTGTGAGTTGTTATTTCTTCTACGTTACTTGCGTCGTGAGCATCACTTTTGCTGAAGTCCATATAAGATGTCTTACTCTAACATAAACATAGATAATCAGCTTAGATGAAAACTTCAAATGAGACGTTAGTGCAAGGGGTGGGTTACATAGAAAAAACCTGCCCCTCAAAATATTTTTTTCACATATCTCCCATCAAAAGCTGCCCAAGAAGCATTATTTTTTCGGAAAATCGTCTACAAGACCGAGAATTAACTGGGGAAGTACGGCCGCGGGAGTCTGAACGAGGCGCAGGCCTAGTCAAAGTAGATCATTCACGCCTTCCAGAACCAGAAGCAGCATGTCGCGTGGTTTCAATATAGCCCGTGATCGGCATGTCCGCCTACTCCAAGATGCTGGAGGACAGGAACATCCTCCCCTTCTATGAGTAGCAGATCATGGCGTTCTAAATCCCTTCGGCTTTAGAACGCGTTGTCCAGCGCTTCCTGCGTTGCCTGCATCCTCCTCGACCGCCGGCCCGGCGGGACGGCGAGGATGGCGGCGGACAGAACGCCGCCTACAACATCGCGCTGCTTTCCTTCTGTGGCCCTGACGACTGCGAGGGCATGGCGGACCACCAAGGCCCGTATCAACCTTGCCATGGTCCGGTTCGTCATGGACAGTTGCGTAGACGCTGAAAGGGGGGGGAAGGGGGGTGCCGGGACACCTAAGTTGTCCCTCGGCATACAGCACGCGAGGGCGTCAAACGTGATGACGGAGAGGGGCAGATAACTCCAGGTGGGACAACGACCTAAGGCAGATCCGGCTAAACGTGGGCGACATGCCTGTGCTGGCCAATGCCGAGGGATTTTTGTAGTTAACGAGCTCATTGTTTGGAGTGTAATTCCGACTATTGGCGTTCTTGCAAAGCGAGAGTCCTAGTTCACTTCTGCAACAAACATGGTATAGTTGTGTTCGTGTCGTGACGCTGGTGGACACTTATAGACGAACCTGAGTTCTCAAGAACGAATCTTTAAAATGGGCAAACCTGTATCTTGTTGCTTTCGTTGTTAAGCGATAGTCAATAGATTCGTTTTATCACCTTCGTTAGACCCAAAAGATTTAAATAACCCATTTGATTAATGACCGAAAGATTTCAGAAAATCTCCTGGTTGACTTGTGGAGGTGGAGATTCTTCTTATCCCATTATTAATAATAGAAACATTATCGATAGTATTTCATATTCGAACCGGTGACCGGAAATTTTGACAAATTGTGTACATGAAGAATACATTATCTTTCTCAGGATGCAAAAAAGAGTTATAGAGGATCGCAGGAGAAGGTTCTTCGCATGTGGTGGATCTCATTGCATATCTTTTCACCAATATTTGAGTTCATCTCATAGTTTTCAAATCCAACGAGAAGATGATTCATTAAATCGTAAAGAAGTTTTAGAAATGAACCAGTGGACGACATTATTTATTCCACGAAGGGTATTTATTGAGTAGGAACTTCCATTGATTTTTTAAGATGACATCGTTGAAAATAGCATCTTGTGACCCATAAAACGAAACTATGGGACATCAATCTAGCAGAAACAATGGCAGACCTCGACACCACCCGGATGCTGGCAGACTCCTCCCTTGCACGAATTCGCCACGCAGCGATCGTTACATTTTCTGGCGTCGATTTTATTCCCGGGCTGACACCTGAATGGAAGGATCTTCTGCTGCGCACCGCATTGCACTGCCAGGACATGATGTGAGAGACACCCATGCATGAAGAAAGGCCGTCCACAGTAGATCAGAATACCAGTAAATGATCAAGAAATCATCATAGTAAATCGCTAGGTGTCAGGTATCTTACGCGTAGTGCTCATGAGCAAGCAAAACATGAGGAAGATGGCAACGGAATCTTTTGTAGACATGTGGTGCTAGCTTGCCCCCCACCCTCCCTCCCTCTCTCTCTCTCTCTCTCTCTCTCTCTCCCTCTCTCTTCTCTAGATGGACATTTACGACCATAGCGGTGCCTAAGATGATTCACTGGTAGGTACTTATAGTGGTCCAGGTACAGCTGTTTCTCATTTTAAGAAAGGAATCGAGGTCTATCATTCCTTTGCCGATGTTTCAAAGTCTTCGCCTCGTGGATCTACTTCCGAGAACGTTCATGACTAACTTATCGGTCTTTGATTCGATTTATATCGTTTATTGACTATTCAAAGATTTGATAAACTGTTCTGATTAGTAGGTGAGTGATTTGAGCGAACGTTTTAATTGTGTGGCGGAACGGCTGAAGAATGGACGGGGACCTAGATTCGTTACGTCGATTAAATCCTCCAGATTTCACTGGTTTGTGTATCAGTCTCTGACCTAGCGTTTATTGTGTCTAGGTGAAATGGGCCCACAAGAAATTTATTTGGGTCCCGACGACGCCAAGGTCTTCTTCCTCAAGATGAAGGGTGACTACCACCGCTACCTCGCCGAATTCTTGACCGGCGCCCCCCGCCAGGAGGCCGCCGATAGCACGCTCTCCAGCTTCAAGGCTGCTCAGGTCGGTCGATGGAACCTCCTTCTTGCCTCATTTTTCCGTCGTAATCACCTGTCTGGCTGGTGCGCCTTCTTTCAGTGTCGCAAAATTCAATCTCCATTTCTTGGATCTATCACATGCGGATTTGATTTGATCTGCGAGCAAATAAATCGCTGCGCTGTCGACTACTAGCGATCTTCTTTTTATCCCTCTGGATTTGATCACCGTCATCTGGCCATTTTTCCGTCTGGTTCGACATTCGCTGATATCTCTCTACATGCCATGTTTCTAGACTATCTATCTGCTGACGACTGTACTTGAAACACTCCCCAGGATATCGCTGTGGAAAAGCTGGGGCCTGCGCAACCCCATCAGGCTTGGCGTGACCCTCAATTTCTCGGTGTTCTACTTCGAGATCCTCAATTCGTACGACAAAGCCTGCCCACTTGCCAGGCAGGTGCGCCCTCCGTTCAGATCTAGCCCTCCTTCGAACTATAATTAATTCATCTCCTCAATTCGTTCCGAATGATCGATCGAATATCGGGCTCCTTTGATTCTCTAAATGGAAATCATCCTCCTGATTTTCAGGCATTCGATGAAGTCATTGGGGATCTGGACACATTGGGTGAGGAATCATACAAGGACAGCACTCTCGTAATGCAGCTGCTCCGCGACAACCTTACGCTCTGGAATACAGACCTGAGAGTCAAGACCCTTTTTTCTTCTTCCTCTTCTTCTTGTTCTTCTCGATGTTTTTGTTTGCTCTTTGCAAGCGATTTCTGACTTCTCCCCCCTTTTTCGTGGTGCCCAGGATGATATTGAAGGATCTAACCTTACGATATCTCGTATCACGAGAACCACTCCAAGAATAAAAAGAAAAGAAAACAAACACACAAAATTCTATTCCACGGAAAGGGAGAATCACAAGCCACACACACATGTTCTCCGAACCAGTCCTCTTATAGGAACAGGTCGAGCAATTAGCGAGAAATGCCGGTTTTAGCAGTTACTCGCACATAACTGCCCAATTAGCATGATCACGACTGTTATAACTCATAAACAACAGACGGTCGTGATTAAGACACAGGAGGAGAAAGAGGACGTTACAGAAATTCAAAATAAAGAAAAACAGCGCTGGAAATGAGCTGTCTGCGGCTGACAGATTGTCAAACACTCGGACTTCTCATTGATCCGCCGAGATTAATTCCAACAGATATAGCAGAAGAGACGCGGCTCCTGAGCCCATAGTGACCGGCCGGGCTCTCCCATCGTCTCTCAGAACGGGCCCATTTTTGAAGGCGCATCCTGGCTTTCTCTCACCTCTCTCTTTCTCCAGTGGTGATGGTAAACTTTTGCGAGAAATCCAAAATACCTGCGTGGGCCTCTTTTGTTGCCCCACCCTGTCAATCTAGCGGCCGCTCGGCTGTTCGTCATCGCTTGATAATGTACATTCTTTGACAATCTTCTTGGAACCCCAAAACATCGTACCCTGGAGTGAATGGTCTGGCCAGTACAGCCTTGATCACTTGAGCGAGAGGAGAGAGAGCGAGAGGGTCCGATGGAAGTTGTGGGGCAGCAAGGAGAGAGATGGAGGGAAGGGAAACTCAAAATGGTTTGCCAAGTACAGCCTGGACCGCTTGAACCGGAGATAGAGAGAGAGAGAGAGAGAGAGAGAGAGAGAGAGGGTTCAATGAAAGTTGTGGGGCAGCAAGGAGAGAGACGGAGGGAAGAGAAAGTCAATTGGAGAGGGCGAGAGAGTGAAGGGTATTTTTTTTTATCGTTTTCAGATAAAAGGAATAAGAAAAATAAGGAGAGTGTGATGATAGTACCTTTTCCAGGGGGTATAAAGCTTTATTTGAGAAACATAAGGGGCGTTAAAACGAAATGGCCCACCACCCTTTGCGAAAAAGGGGGATCATTTGGTTTGATTCGTAGTTGGGGACGCGCGGCGTCGCCCAATCTTGACTTTTTCATTTTATTTTATTTTTTTAAAAAAATAGGGATTTTCTTGAAGGCATGCTCGAAAGCCTTCTTTGATCTATGAATTGACGAGTCACGTGATCTGACCTTTGACTAGCCAGGGGTTATAAGTTAACTTATACCCATAAATCCTCTTCGATCTGGCCTCGGACATGCATGCATAAAAAATATATACGTACATGTACATGTCAAGTGGGGTCAGAAACAGAATTCGTGCGGAGACTTTCCCACTAGTAAACTACATAAGTATACGTCAGTAAATGCACTAGGTCAAAGATTGAGACACATAAATTTGGGGGAAAAAAATTAAGGGGCTTATCTTTTTTTGAATTACATGGAGACAAAAATCTACAATTTCATAGTTAATGTACAAATATTAAAATTTAAAAGATTAATATTGAAAAACACTTAAGGTTGCAGATGTATAGAGAATGACAGTTTGGTTGCTTAAATATATAGAATATATTTAACAAGCAATTGCATAGTTTGGAAGGTTAAAAGCCTACAATTTCATTGTTAATATTAAATATATAAATATGAAAGATTAGACTAAGAATTAAAGATACTTGTCTATAAAAGCACTTATGTTACAGATGTATAGAGAAAGACTATTTGGAAGGTTAAGTATGTACGAATATATTTAGTATGCAATTGCATTGTTTGGATGGTTAAAAAATCTACAAGTCCATAGTTAATATAAAATATATAATTTTAAATGATTAAGAATTAAAGATAGTTGTGTATGAAAAGATAGGTACAGTTTGATTGGAACTCATGGAAATTTGAAAAAAAAAAGAAGGGCCAGATTTTTTCTGAATTATATGGAGATAAAAAATGTACAATGGCATGGTTACTATAATGATATTAGAATTGAGAACTCGGCTTATGGAAAAATAGAGAATGAAAGCTTGGAGGGGGTTGAAGTTGAATGAACAAGGCCAGAGATTCAAACTCACAGAAATTGGGGGAAAAAAATGAAGCTATCTACAATGGTGAATTGAGTTTAAATGTCGAAAAAATTATATCTTTATATAAAAACTCACAGGAATTGAAACTCACAGAAGATTGAAACTCACATAAACTTGTATATAAAAACACTCAACTTATGGATATATAGGACAATGAAAGGTTGGAGTGTTGAAATCGAAATTTGCCGTGATGCATGCGCGTTCTGAAATCTAGAACGCGTTGAAGTTCCTCTGCTAGCGCCGTCCATGGCGTGGCGGCCCATGTTGGCTTTCCCCATGCCAGCCGCAAGGTTGGGGGTTGACCTAGAGATCTCCACAGATCAGATATTCTTTTGTTTTTTTTTGTATCACGCTTGGGGGTTGACCTAGAACTGGCTACAGCACAGGCCGCCAGATCGTTCCCAATTGAGTATGGTGATCCGTCAACCCCATACTTAATTAGGCGAAGATCGCGAGATGAGAATGGTGTAAATAAAAAAAAGGAAAATAATTAAGTCATCTGCGATGGATGGGAGTAGACGGGAAAAAGGAAGTGGGGCAGGCCGATCTAGGAAGGAAGTGTGCGATGATGAAAATACTTTTCTGATGGAGGAATCGACCCTTCAAAGAAGAGGAGAGAGAGAGAGAGAGAGAGAGAGAGAGAGAGAGAGAGAGCTGGGATTTAAGAAGGTTCTTCAAGGAGGCACGAGGAGCTTTAAATCGTTAATTGGGAAGGCGAGGGGGGATGACCCAGAGACCTGACCGGGTCAAACCTCTCTCTCTCTCTCTCTCTCTCTCTCTCTCTAACTCTCTCTAACTTGCTGGGAGGCTTCACCGGAAATGACAAGGATCTGAGGGAGTATAAAAGCATGGGGAGGGGAGCTCTGGTTTCAAGGAAAGCATCGCCGGAACCACGCGCCTACTCGGAGATAATGGGGAAGTTCGCCGTGTTGCTCACCCTATGCTTGGGCGCCATGTCCTCGATCGGCGCCGAGGCTCAGCAATGCGGCAGGCAGGCCGGAGGCGCACTGTGCGCGGGCGGCCTGTGCTGTAGCCAGTTCGGCTGGTGTGGAAACACCGCAGCGTACTGCGACAGAGCACAGGGATGCCAGAGCCAGTGCTGGGGAGGACTGACCCCCGCCACAGGCATTTCCTCGATCGTTAGCCAGGCCCTGTTCGAGAAAATGCTGCTTCACCGCAAGATGCTGCTTGCTCCGCAAGGAACTTCTACACTTACAGTGCCTTCATCACCGCGGCGAACTCTTTCCCCGCCTTCGGAACGACGGGGGACCTCGCCACCCGCAAGAGGGAGATCGCCGCCTTCTTCGGACAGACCTCTCACGAAACTACCGGTGATTCGAAGTGGACGGATGATTGACTGATGGTGACCGGCCGAGGTGGAAGAGGGATTTTCGTCGTAAAGCTGTTGACTACGGTTTCTTGGATACAGGTGGGTGGCCGACGGCGCCGGACGGTCCCTACTCCTGGGGATACTGCTTCAAGGAGGAGCAAGGAAACCCGGGAGCTTACTGCACCCCAAGCTCACAGTGGCCCTGCGCACCTGGGAAAAAGTACTACGGCAGAGGACCGATTCAGATCACACAGTGAGTTTAATTGCTGCCAGGGGTCACGCTGGTTGTCATTTGCCCGGTTACGTACCCTGAGTTTTTGCTTCAATCCCTTCTTACGGTGTGTCTAATCCATTTCAGCAACTACAACTACGGCCCAGCCGGCCAAGCAATCGGAGCGGGCCTCCTCAAAAACCCTGACCTGGTGGCCTCCGACGCCGTCATCTCCTTCAAGACGGCCCTATGGTTCTGGATGACCCCGCAGTCCCCGAAGCCGTCGTCCCACAACGTCATCACCGGAAGATGGACGCCGAGCAACGCCGATGTTGCCGCTGGACGGCAGCCCGGCTACGGCGTGATCACCAACATCATCAACGGGGGGTTAGAGTGCGGTCGTGGACCCGACGGCCGGGTGGCGGATCGAATTGGGTTCTACAACCGATACTGCAATATCTTGGGAGTTAGTCCCGGCGCTAATCTCGACTGCTACAAACAGAGGCCGTTTACTTGAGCATGGGAGCTTTGCTTATATCCATTCCTGTCTAAATAACAAGGCTGTAAGCTGGTGTCGTGGTCTGGGTTCGGACTTCAGACCGGACCTTCGTGATAATAAATGGTTATCTCGTTATACCTCCGTGCCAACTCTTTGATCTGGGGACTCGCTTTTCTCACTCATGCAAATCGTCATCTTATTAAGTGAATTCGGAATATTTTTCACAAGAATATTTAGCTCTTATGAGGTTTTCGTTTTTTTTTTCCCTGAATATTGGTGTTTTCTTTTGGGTCAACATGCATCATATCTATTTAATGGATATTATGTAAAGGCTAATACTTTCAATAATAGTATCATAAGCTCTCCCGGTCTTGGTCTACCCACTCGAGCACAGCGCTGCCGGTGATATTTTTATATTTTATTCTTATAATTTTTTTAAAAAAATCAAAAAGTATGTTAATTCATTTAACTTCAGACTTCCTAATTTAACAATATATTACTATACTTATTCTGTAAATTAACACACAAAAATAAAATAATAAAACTATTTAAAACATAAAAATGTAACTTTAACAAGGGGTGAAGTATTAAGTCATAATTTATGTTGTAGAATGATTAAGAACATGTGTTTGCATTTATTTTCATGCTCACCTATAAAAGCAACTAAAAAAAAAGGTTCCCTTTTAGTTTGACTACCAAGCAGAGTCCTTCGAGGCACATGTGGCTGTCATATTCTCTCCCCTTTGGTTCACATACATGCTGGTTTCAATTGACTGCACCTACCACCCACACATTCGCTGGCATTTCTAACGATGGAATGGTGCCCTAGATGATCTAACAGACTGCTGAATTGCCAGGATAATTTTGAAAGGTTTACCACGTGGATATGTCGCTGGGGCAACTTCGCTTCCAACGGTGAATAACTAATACTCTCTCTCTCTCTCTCTCTCCCCTCCTTCTCCCTCTTCCTTTTAGATAAAGAATGAACCCAAGGGGGTACATGTTGAGACCCTGACAACCCAAATGGACTCACGGAAAAAGAGGTCCCTGATTCATCTTCTAGTCGTTGAATTAGAAGATGTCAATTTTAATATTTTTAGCTGAACTCAAAATGGAGATTAAGATTATATGTTCTAGTGGGTTCAGGTCGATCCTCAGGGATGACTACCAATTTTAATGCCGAAATTATGCTCTCTAATTTG